TGTATCTCTCTGCACTTACGTATACACCTACATCACCTTTTTGGGTTACAACGCCCTGCCATCCTCCATCATACCGAATTATTACTTGCCCCGATCCTTATTTTTGCAGTACTCTGGCTGGTTAGTCTGATGGTCGGATGGGGAATAGTTGGGCAGGGGATGGTCGTGGAAGGGATGTTTTGGGGCATATGAAACGCTTAATGGAACCTGCCTGACGAGAGCAGCTATGGCTTGAAATGGGGCTACCCGTCGTGGGGTATGGTAAGCTGAAATAAGCAGAAGAAAGAGAGTGAGTGAGTGAGTGAAGGAAGTGTACGACAAGGTCAACAGTGAGGCATAGGAGAAGCAAAGCAATAAACTATGGAAATATGAAATTCTACTACTGGCATGTGTGGACTGATGGATACCAGTCTTCTTACTCCCCTAAGCCTGATGCATATGGACGTATGTACTCTATTTTCCCTTTTATTCCAATAGGGATTAAGTACTACCACTTGCATGTTTTTGTTTTATATTTCTTTGATTTAGAGGCGCGTATCCTTGGCTATGGGTTTGGAAATGTAATAACCATTAATTTCTCAACCTTGGCGCCGGTGAAAAATTATCCATACTATATATCTCTCCATTGCCAAACACCTCCAAGTAACAAACTGACATAATGCAGCAGCGACTCCTGTTGGGGGTTTGGATTGGTTCGTCCTCTCTAACTTACTACCATCATGGCGGCTGGTGGTGATCGATCTCTTTTGCCCCAGTGGCCTAACACATACATTACTCGTATTTGCCATTTGAGCTGCAATCAGATGATATCATGCTCAGCGGATTCCTCCAGGGCGAAGAACAATATTGGTGCCTTTTCCAGTCTACAGCCTGGCAAGCTATTGGTGCCTTTACTTACGGGACATCGCGAATCTCTTACAGTCATGGCTTCGGTTGAAGTCGAGCTCCTGTCTGCCCGGCACAGCCAAAGGGATCATATTTATGATATCACGGATATCGGCTGCTTGTTTACCTAGGTAGTACCCTTGGCACTGATTTTGAGCCAAAATGTTTTCACGCAAGATCCATTCAGGGGTGAAGAGTTAGACCCCTCGACCATTGATATCCAACGTCTTCACCTACGATTGGGGTCTACGCCCTGCAGATAGGTGCTGGCGCTCTTCATAATGACATAGTCGATGTTCGGTGAATCAAGTTTCTGCGCTAGCGCGGAAACATTGGTTCTCAGGTCTTGGGAAGTGAGCGGCGCCATTATATACTTCATATCTATAAGTGTGCCATTCCGATGAGCTAACGAAGACTAGCAACACTTATGGGGCGGAGTTACGCGTAGAGAATGGAGCCCTTCCAAGTGTAATTCGCTGCGACCCGCCTCACCTGGTCCGCTACGAGGGGTCTATATTGAGACTCGGTTTTCCACGAACCCGCCACCAGAATGAGATCTCAACCGTCTCGCGAGACGACGGCATTGCGGCCTCTACGTTTGCTCCTTCACCAGGCGGTGATGTCCCACCGCTGCTGTTATTCTGGTCTTCTCCAGCGGTAACAGGAGTCCGTTCTTTGAGAGAACCTATCTATATGGTTTCTTGCCGGCGGAATCGACTAGTTCAGGGTATTATGACATATTGAGCTGCGGAGCCTCTCCTGCTCCTACTTGTTATCCAGCTTCTCTTACTCTTGGCGTTCACGTCAAGGTACGACTCCTCGTACTCAGACGGTTCCCGCGATGAAGCGCCGCTTTCGGGCTCTCGATCAAAATACCTGGTGGAAGGGTTCCTGACATTCGGCGTTCCAGAGACATCTCATTACGAATAGCCGGATGTTGACCCAGATGGGTCATGTGGGGTCAGACAGCGGTAGCATCCGGCTTTAGTTCGCGCTCGAAGATGTCTAATTCCGGTGATTCTTCGGGATATGCCATTGACTCTGGTTCATCCTCTTGCGATAGTTCCGGCTCCGCAGCCTAGGCCGTGATCTCCATGTCTATCCGCTTCGGATCCGAGTCCCGGGGCCCGAGTGGATCAGCGTCGGGAGGTACCAGAGCACTGCATTTTTCATCCGCCATGTCCTGATCCAGCTCCATCAGCTGCTAATTTGATTCGGCGGTCTGCTGCCCCCAACGTCTGCGTTCAGTCTTTCCGCTCTCGGTGTTGTTGCCCCATCGACCTCGCAAGGCCCGTCGTTCGGTTTTCGGGGGAACATGTTCCGAACTGCCATCCGGAACGAACAGTGACGACATGGAAACTTCGAAACATTGTCAAAGAAGACGAAGTTAATGCAGCGGCGGACGAAGGATGTGATGACGGTGTCCATCCCCGACACCACATCGTCGTGCACATGAGCGAGGAAGGGAAACGGACTGTCTTGTCTGTGCTTGCACGTCTACAGCATACTGCAAAGCACTCGCCGCTTTATATTACTGTTAGCAGGAAGTTTAGATGCCTTGGTAAACTGGTCAGGGACTGCAACTGAAAAACGGGCGACATTTTTTTTTTTTTTTTTTTTTTTTTTTTTTTTTTTTTTTTTCTCAGCCAATGAGTGTACAAACGTGCGATAGCCGTATTGAAAGTGACTCGTTTTTCAGGAGAGGAGAAGGAAAGCTCACCCTATCAGCTAATCAGAAGACGGGCTCACCAATCCTTTGATCTCACCGGACTAAAATCCAGCGCAGTGAGCCAGTTCAGCCATCTTGTACACCCCACACTCATAAGCCTTGGCGAGATTCTGTTAGGCTAACAGCTTGTCTTTGAGGGATAACGGCGCATGGCATAGAACCAAATCTCTCAGTGCATCCAGCTTGAGATGAATGTTACTCATCACACGCATCTGCCAGAATGCCAACTCCAACATCTGAATGAGACACTGTTTCTTCACCTCAGCAGGCGCAATGAACATGTGCTCCATGATGATCCCAATGAACGTTTTCAACGGACTGAAGAATTATTCCACACAGTCAGCACAGTGTTTCTTGGTACTTGAAGTCCCCGAAGAACATGTGCAGACAAGGCATCAGCCCGCTGAACCCTTCCAACAGTCTTAGAGACTTAGCACTATATTAATAGACAGTTCCGCTTTTTAATATACTATATTTTCAATCTATCTTCAATTTCTATGTCTTTAAAAATTGGAAAAAAAAATTTTTTTTTTGTCTTGGATACTATATTCCCCTTTACTATATATTCAAATTTATTCTAAAATATTAAGTATTGGTGGAGTTATTTCATAATATATGATATTTTCATCCTCTAGCATAGCAATCTATCCGGGGTGAAATTTTTATATTTTCCCATGGTCTGGCAGCATTTTTGATTTTGCAAGTAATCCGTCTGCCACGATAACCACATAAAGTAGCTTCAACAACAATAAAAAAAAAAAAAAAAAAAAAAAAAAAAAAAAAAAAGAAAAAAACATGAAACCAAGACCAGCCATTTAAAAGGCAACAGTAAGATAGTGCCTGAGAGGATTGAGATGGCGAACCAACTTCCAAGTAAACAATGGGAAGAAAGGTTTTCCATTAAAATTTGTGTTCCACATTTGAAATAACGAAAGCAAAATGCCGGAAAGAGAGAATAATTGAAGGAACAAGCGATCAACAAGCTAGATCAAGGATGCAAGATGCGTCATAAAATGCCCCTCACGGCAAGCATGCAAAATGGCATACGATATATGTATATAAAGAAGCACGAGACAATCACAGATATCATTCCTTCTTCTTTGGCGTTCCTTTCTTTCCCTTCCCCGCAGGTCCCAGCGCCGCAGCCCGCAACTTCGTTTCCCTCTCCTTCGCCTCGGCCTTTTCACGCTCTCGTTCCTCCCGCTCCTCCTTTTCAGCCTCCTTGCGCGCCTTCTCCGCCTCACGGCGTTCTTTGACGAGCGCCAGGCGCGCGAGATCGGCGCGAGCCTCCTCAGTCTTGCCTTCGGCGTGCAGTTTCATGTACCGCTCGCGCGCCTGCTGCGCATGGATAGCTTCCCTCTCCCGTCGAGAGAGCTGTGACATATCACCGGATTTTGCATCGGCGGATGCAGTGTCCCCATTGGCCAGCGCGGGTCCCTTCGCGGCTTGAGAGCGTGATTTGGCGGTATGATTAGGATTAGCGGGCATGTCGTCATCGTCTTCATCTTCGTCATCGGATGGGGGCAGGTCGCCCGGGGCGACCTTGTTCTTTTTGGCAATGGCAGCTTCCTTTCTGGCTTTCGCGGCGGCTTTGCGTTCCTCGCGAGTCATTTCTTGCGTGGATGAAGACTGGCCGCGACCCGACTCCCCCTCAGACTCTCCCTCAGTCTCCTCCTCCTCGGAACCTTCTTCTGAATCCTCTTCTGATTCATCTACGACATCATCCGGGTCCTGGAATGGTGCAGCAGTACGTTAGTTTTCAACCTGATAACCATAAATTTCAAGCGGTTTCAATGAAAATAATAAAAATAATAATAATAGAGTTTTGCAAAGCGAGGGGAAGACATTCTCGCATACCCGCCACATGCCAAGAGGACTTCCCTCTTTGTCTAAAGGTTGAAGATTACGGCTGAAGTGTTTGCCTCCTAAACGGGCAACAAAAAATTGGGTCACTATCATATCCAACTGGTCATGGCGGGGTAGTTCGGAGACCAAAACACATACCTCCTCGAGTTGGTTTACTGAATTTTCCTCCACGTCCTCGGGGAGCCATATTGAAGAACTGGCTGAAAGCGTATAATAGATATCGTATTAAAAATAAAAATTGAAAAAGAGAGTTTCCACAAAGAACGGTAGCAAAAAAGCTGGGAGCGAGGGGTAGATATTCCAGTATGTATGTACTTGAATGCGGGGTGGTTGTTTGCATAGATTTGAACCAGTGTTTGCTAGGCGGAAACTGGAATACAGGATCTGAGTATATAGTAGCTGAATCGGCAGTAGCGGTATACTCTCATAGGTATTCTTAGCTTCGAATAGAAAAAGAAGAGAAATCTCCGTCACAACATAGAGAGCAGAAGATATATCATTCTATGGGCGTGGGGGGAACGCCGAGAATAACGTGACTTGACACATCACCGTATTCGGCCACTAGGGCAAAAGAGCTCAATCACCACCATTTATAGAGGGTACGGATCACCCAATCCAATCCCCCCAACACACCGTTCATCCTGACTCAGCAAGAAGCACTCAGGGGCAACGAAAACGTTTATACGCACGATCGGCTTCTGTGAAGAACTAGAGACCTACATAGCATTAACACCCCCCCCCTGCTCTTGCCCTTGTATTGTGGAGTTGTGGACGTGCATAAGTGAGGGCTATCTGCTGCCTTCTGCAGGACTGCTCCGATTCATTGTCTCTATAAAACCCAATTTTCATTCAACTTTTTGTATATCACGAACGCCTATCAGCCACGCTCATATCAAATATATATTCCCGCCGTTTTTCTAGGCAAGGACAACGGCAAGAGACAGCACGGGGAATCGGAATTAGAACCAACCCGTGCCGCCATGATGCATGAAGGAGTATATGGAAATCAAAAACCTGCGTGAAAGAAACAACCACAAAAGAAGAATCGTACTCGCGAAGCTCTATACACAAAACCAGTCTTCTCCAAGGCGAGAAATACCCGAATAAATTTCAGATCCTCACCATCAATACTGGTCCCGTAACTGAAATCCTTGCACACACCAATACTATGGACCCTACCAACATCGAAAGACCACCAAAAAGTTGTGCATACAGATATTTGCCATCATTCATCTGAATCAAAGCCCCTGCAATCGGCGATCCCGTTAATGAAGCGAAGCTAACAATGCTTAGAATCATACCGAAACGAATGCCGGTCTTTTTTAGATCAGGAGACAGGGCCGACAAGCATGCAGGAAACAACGATTGAATTCCTGCTGCGAAAAATCCATATAGAATGGAGAATGCATACAGCCCGTTGACATCATGGATCCCTGCCCAGCCGAATAATAGAATACTTGAGAGAAAGGAACATGGGATAAAGGCATTGAATGGGCCCGAATAGTAATCCGACATGAAACTCGGCACCAGCCGGCCGATGAATCCGACGCCGTTCAGAATTAGCAAAAGATCTATCGACCTATTTCGTGAAAGGCCGGTGATGTCGCGGCCAAAACTGCTGAGATAGAAAAAAGCAACATAGAGACCCCAGAAATTAAGGAACATAGCAATTGCAAACAGAGAGTATTTCCTCTCCTTAAAGGCAGGCCAGTCGAAAAATGGCCCGCTTTTGCGGGGAGGGAGTCGTTGTCGCAGGAAAATGAAGCAGGGAGTCAACGTGGAAAGGCTGAAGAAACCCAAAACCCGCATTGTCCAGGGATATCCGATGCGGGGGAGCAGCGACTGTACGATTGCGGGGAAAATAATACCTCCAGTTGCAGAGCCAGCAGCACTGATTGCCAGAGCGATTGCTCGCTTGGAAGAAAAATACGTGGGAATTAATGCTATTGTAGGGCAGAAGAGCAGTCCGCAGCCGATGCCCATGCACAGTCCTTGGGAAAGGAAAAGATGCCAATATGTTGTGGCTAGCGAAGTCATGAAGATCCCCAAAATCAGAAGTATAGCGCCCATCGTCCATACAACCTTGAAATAACCGGCGTCTGTTGCACGGCCGGAGAAGGTCCCGATGAAGAAGAGAAGGAAGATTTGAATGCTGCCTACCCAGGATATATCTGATGGCGACCGTTGCAGGGATGTCATGTAGTGTGATTGGAACACACCGAAGCTGTTGAGATAGCCCCATGTATTGCACATCACCAAATGGCTCAAACAAGTTTGGAACCAGGCATTAAAGCCTCCATCAGGTGGAGGGCCGGGGTCAATTCCAGAGTCTTTTGTCCGTATAAGCGAAAGCGTCTTTCCTAACACCCCGTCGTTACCGATCGGATTTGCAGCAGACGGCGTGCGAGATAGTCCCGGTGAGGCGCATGTAATTTGGAGGCCATCGTCGTAATCGCGATTAGAGGAAGCCGATGATGCAATATTGGGATCAGTCCCCTTTTCAAGGTCCGTTGGCGAACTGATCTCAGGCAGAGTTTTTTCCATTGTCTCCATATTTCACCTGGGGATTTCACGACTGGTTTTGTATGGCTTTGTATTCATCGATCTCGGTCTGCACTGGAAATTTTGTCCGGGAGTTAAACCATTGGGATAAAAAGAGTCTTCCTGAATAGATAAACCCGGATGCTTTTTCAAAACCAACCAGAGCGGCTCGGAGGCAAATTAATATACTGTCGGATCCTAGTTGATTAGCCTGATATCTGTACCTCTTCTCTTGAAGATAGCGATATTGATTCGGAGAAACTCTTCTTCCTCTTCTTCCTCTTCTTGCTCTTCTTCCTCTTCTTGCTCTTCTTCCTCTTCTTCCTCCTCCTCTTCTTCTTCTTCTCCTCCTCCTCCTTCTCGGTCTTGTTCTTGCGGTATTATACTAATATTATAATAATTGGAGATTGCGCTGGGATCTGTGGCTCGATTAGAGGACATTCCCTTTTAAATTTGATCAAGAAGGTAAAAGCAATGCTCCCGTGGATATGGAAACAGAAGAAGCATACCTAATGCAGATTATCTATCGACGAAGAGAACGAAAGGGCCCACCAGAATATGCCAAAATAAGAGTTGCTGAGATGGAAAATGCAAAGGAAGGAGGAAAAGACGCTCTCTGGTGGATCGTTGATGGGAATTATGTATCCAAAAAAATGGGAAAAGAAGACTCCTAGGGGGTGGAATCGTCTTAATTATTGCACTCTGGGAAAATAAAGATAGCATCAAAATAATAAATAGAGGTGGAATATCTCGGGTTGCTGTTTATGCCCGTGTCTTGTCCTAAGAATACTTCCAATACTAGTATCAACAAGGGAAGACGAAGTTATAGCAGCTTGGAAGTAATGAGGGAATCTTGATTGCTTTCCTCACAGATCCAGCGAGGCAACAAAGTCTCCCAGGGGAGCAGGAAAGAACGATCGTTTGAAAGAGCGGATGCAGAATATTGAGGAATGCCCCTAAAAAATATATAGACCTGAATGGAAATTGGAAAGCGAACAGAATGCAACATTTTCTCTGTGGCAAGGGTGGGGCCTCTGTAAAATTGAACCTTTACTACTAGGTTAAAGTGAGAATTCCCCAATTAACATAGTATTTAGGTTCACAATTTTATGCCTTGAAATCTAGCAGTTTCCATAGCTTTTTCATACAGAAGTTACCCCGCAGGGCCCCATCGAGGTCAACATGAGATAAATAAATCCATTCTCGCGCCGGGAATGTTGCAACGAACGAACGGCACAAGACCCTTCATTCTCTCCCTGCTCCTGCATGCTCCTCCTGCACACTCGGGCTCGGGGAATTTTTGGCCTATTGTCCATGCGATGAAAACGCGGGGTTATGTCGGCTGAAGGGCGCAAACAAGCGCCCTTCTCCCCACGCTGTTGTCGTTAGTTTCCAGTATAACGAGGTAATTCCCGCCGAGTTACGGAGTACTGCATCGGTTAAATGGTTTTAGACGCCATTCTCAATCCGAGCAGGGGCAACGAACTAATATTCGATTAGACCATGTGATGAGTCAAGGTGCGCTCTGGGCCCTGCCTGAAGTCTGGAGCAAATAGCCTTGCCTCGCCTCTGTCCGTCAGGATTGAAGGATGGATACTCGGATCGTCTTCTGGTCATAGCCAGCTTCCATTTCGAAGTCTTCGATCGCCTATTTCAGAATCAATGAGCTCCTCCATTCATCCCAAACAAGCTAATTGATCCGACAGCGCTTTGGACTTAACTTTTCCAGGAACCTTTCCATTCGCAGAAGGGGGAGCTTTTCCAGAGAGTCAATCTTGCTGTAGATATGCGTTGAGACCTGGACACTAGCTTCGCAAATACAAGCAGTCCAATCAATCGTCTCATTCCTGCTCATTCCGGGCTTGCAGAGTAGATAAGTCGAAAGGAATGCCAAGTTGCCGAATTGAGGCGCGTTGCCCAGCGCCAAATGCCAAGAGCTTGAATTTTTCGACGCTGTTGCTGTGAGACCTGCAGGTCTTAGCTTATTAATCCTCCACCAAATAACTTGCCACGTAGCTAGCAACCTTTCAATCAAGCAAGCTTTACGGAGTACACCTTCCACAGTTGCCGCATGCAGGATACCTAGGGGATATATTTGCAAGGTAGTTTATCTCCGTCCATAGATCAGGAAGATTCCCCAGAGAATCCCCCGCTCACAACCAAAACCAACCAAGCATTGAAAGTGTCCAGTATAAACCCTCTGTAGAATAACGTAACTGCTAGTAGTTGAACAAAATCTCTGATCTTCCAGCAAGAACAACTGGTTGAATTTCGCCAAATCCACAGTTCGATAGACTATTGCAGCTCAAAGTCTCCCAAAAAAAAAAAAAAAAAAAAAAAAAAAAAAAACAAAAACACAGTCAAGACTAGATCAATCGTCGACGGTACGGTATTAGTAATGAAGCTTTAGTAAATTGGTCCTCAACCTTTTATTCATAGTCAACTGTTGTTAATATCTATTTTATAGGGATATATTATTCAAGGTAGTCGTTGGTGACGCCATTCAAGTACGCTGGTACGACAAAAGAAAAGAAAATATACGGCCCTCTTTCGTGCCTCCTTCCTCTATCTCTCTGGTTGTTGATTTGAAACTCTTAAACGAAGCTCTGATTACATTAACCCAACAAACCACAAACCACGGAGGCTCGTTACGAAACGTTCTAGTAAAACCAATCAGCAAAGAGATGAGGAATGCATCGGCCCGCAGAGAAAATAAAGAAACAAAAGGAATACGATGGAGAATGAAAATCCAAATCATCGTATCCTCAATATGCGTTCCCAAGCGGACTTAAGCGACCCAGCTGAGGAAAGAAATTCACCACGATCCAACTTAATGCAACAGCAATCAATGAGAGCAAAAGCTTTGCTGCCTTTCGTTTCTCCTGGACAGACTTCTGGGATTCCCACTTCAGACCCCCCGCCCCAAGCACATTAGTTAGTTGTATTTACTTACTTACAGTGCATTCCGCGTTCCGCAGGCTAGACGTACCTCTATGTTCCAATCTGACCAAATGGGGAAGAGGTTCCTGTACCACATATACGCTTGCGACCACGGATACATTGTTGGATTCCATTTGTTGCCTTGGATATACCACTAGAAGGAAATGGGGAAAGTCAGCCCGCCGTTAGGGCCGCTATATTTCTGGACATGTGAAGCAAAGAGAGGAAACAAGAAATAGATACAGTGATAGGGAGAAAACTAGTGTAACATACAGACTGGCAACCCCCAGCATTGAAAATGGTCTCCTCTAAGGCAGCCTGAACCTCAAGGGCGTACAAATCTTCCGCCTCCTGCTTGAGCTCGACGGTTGCTGCTTTTCCGGCGATTACTGGCTTCAGTATGCGAAGCGAGTAATTTATGGCACTGCGGGAGTTTAATTTTAACTTTTGTTTTTCACTCCGGCTAGCAAAACTGCCCTTGAGAATCATCCTGTTCTTCCAGGGGGTACATTTCGCTAATGAAAGCCAACGATGAATAAGAGTACTCACTTCTCTGATGCTATGATCGCGGATGTGTGTCCCGTCGCCGAATTGGGGCCTAGCAACATGAAGAAGTTGGGAAACCCGCTAATAGCACAACTGTTGTAAGCGGTTGATCCCGGATATTTGGACCAGTGTTCCTTAACACTCATCCCATTTCTCCCAAAAATATCCATGCCATGGAAGAATTCGCTGTTCTGGAAACCGGTGGCCAAGACGATAACGTCGGCTGCTATGAAGCCCTTGTCAGTTTTTATGCCTTCGTTAACAATCTCCAGCGGTTTGCCATTGGTTAATGTAATATTTTCTGCGTTTAAGGACTTGAGATATCCACTACTATCAAAAATTCGACGCTGGAAAGAAAAGGGGATGATGTTAGCTCCTACTTTCTGAGGTGGGAGGCCCTCAGAGAAAAGCGCATAATCCATTTTCAACACAAACTAACCTTGCATCCGATTTCGAAGTCAGGGATAAGGAGATCGTGGTATTTTTCCGGGGCTTTTTTCCGTATATATTTTTCTGCCATCACGCGCCTCCACTGTCGTAGTTCCATACCCTTCTTGGTCATTTGAAACGCAGGCCAGTTACGCTCGACTAGCAAGAAGATCAGAAGCCTATGCGCTCGCATTGTGAGTGGAATATACCGGAATATCCACTTCATCCATGATGAATAGCGGGGGTTGATGGTTGGGACAATCCAGTGCTTTGATCTGACAATCTGAGTAAGGTGCTTCACCTCAGGCAAAATCGAGGGGACGATTTGTGCGGCCGTGCCTGGGATAATTACACATTCCCTATTAGCTGCCCGGGAATTTTAGAACGTATCTTTTATCTACTCACAGCCATTACCAAGAACAACCACATTCTTGTCCTTTAGGTCTAGAGAAGAATCCCACTCGGCTGAGTGCATTATACGACCTTTGAACTTGGCGCTGCCAGGAATATCACATTTGCGAGGTACAACAAGCTGCCCGGCAGCGCTGAAGAGTATCTGGCATTTGTGGGAATATTCTTCTCCCGTCTTTCGGTCTCGGAGATATACCGTCCACAAGCTCGATCCATCATCCCATTCACAGCGGTAGGCTTCAGTCGAGAAGGCAATTTTGTCCCCTAGGCAGTATTTGTCTCGGACACGGTCATGGTATGCTTTAATTTCTCCACCTGAGGACAAAAATCTTCCCCAATTGGGATCCAATTCGAAGGAGAAGCTGTATAGCCCGGTCGGGATATCGCATGCAACGCCTGGACTAACAGTTAGCCCCCGCGGTTTTTTTCTTTTTCCTTTCCTTTCCCCTCCCTTCCCTTCTTTTTCTTTTTCTTTTCTTTTTTCTTTTTTTGTAGAGGGAGGAAAGAGGGGAGCTTTTGTGGCAGATAACGATATATGACTCAGACGCACCAGGATATCGGTTTGCCCACCATGTCCCGCCGCTGTCTGGATGGCGCTCAAAAAATCGGATATCGTCTAAGTTGTACCAGCGCTTCAGCGTCGCGCCCAGGCCTATCCCTGAGAATCCAGCGCCAATACAGGCAACTCGAGTGTAAGATGAGCGATCTTCAGAGCTGGGTTTGTGCGTTGACATCGCGCTCGTGTTTCTCTGCTACATAGAGCTCAGTGGAGGGTTTTGTGAATGTCTATGTTTCATTGACTGAGGTGACAGAGATATTTTCCTAGAAGGATAAGTTAGAAGCAACTTCAAACCAAGACGTAGCGGAGTTAGCTTCTTAAAGGCACAAAGCAGGCGCATACTCCTGGAAGCCAGTGGGCAGATCATTTTGTGGAGCTAGCTCCTGAACGGCTTTTGCTGTTCTGCAGCAAAATCTGCCGGTAATTATTAGTTATGTAACTAGCATAACCAGCTCGTTATCCGCCTCCCAAGCTTCCGAGGATTTGACGACGAGTACTCCGTAAACGTGGTGGATGGGACTAAATATAATTTCTTCTATGCAGGTTTTATCCCATCCTCCTCCTCGAATCCCGGAGACAAAATAAATGATCAGTCGAGGCTTGTTTGAACTTGCAAACTTGAAGCCAACCCAACCACGCCTTGATGACTAACTTATGGCTACATGGAATTTAGTCCTGGCCAGCCAACTTCCCTATTCTTGACATTAACCCGTCCTTGTGCCACTCGAATATGAAAAGATCTTCAATACCCCATCCTACAAATCTGCTGTTGTAGATCAGGATGTGAAATAAACTCTTGACTAACTAGTAACGAACCTAAATACGCGCCATGTCCGCTGCAAGTTCAGTATTTGCGATACGCCCCGTCCGCTCTAAAGAAGATCTCTCCGCGGCCATCGCGCTCATTAAAGCTTATACGGGGGGCCTGGGCATTGATCTCTCCTATCAAGACTTCGAAGCTGAAATGGCCTGTATGCCGGGCAGCTACTCACCGCCGTTCGGAGAGTTACTCATCGCCGTAGCAAATCAGCAAGAGAAAGAAGCATCCCAAACCCCGGATGACACTCCGCAAACGCTAGGGTGCATAGCTCTTCGCGAACTCCATCTACACGGGCATGGAAATATTCATGGACGTGTAATACCCGTACAACCGCCGGCACAGGAGGAGGAAGCCTCCCGTGTCACCTCCCAGTTGCACGTTGGACCTGTCGGCGAAGCCGATGACGGTAAGGCTCCCGGGCCTACAACTCGTAAACCCGACACCAAATATTGCGAGCTGAAGCGGCTCTACGTCACGCCAGCGGCGCGAGGATTGGGCGTTGGCAAGGCGCTGGTAAACTCCATGCTTACCGTTGCATATCGGATCGGATATGAAGAAGTAAGACTTGATACGTTGTCGGAGATGAGAGAGGCGATTGCTCTGTATAAAGGCTTGGGGTTTGGGGCTGTAGAGAAGTATTATGAGAGAGCGATTGAGGGAACGGTGTTTTTGGGGTTGAAGCTCTTGCAATAGGGAGCGAGTAAAGCGGAATGGGATGGATTGTAAAATTTAAGACACGCTTCGAAATACGCTGCTTTGCATTGGTGATTTTTATTCTTTTGATATTGATTCGATCCGATTGAATTTTCTTTTTCTTCCTTTCATTCATTCTTTTTTTTTCGTTATTTATTAGACGGCTGTGGTAATAGTTACATACCATCTCTGCATAGATTTTAGGACAAACGAGCCTTACATTTGGCCTCGTTTTAAACAAAGTTTATATCAAAGTACCACTGCCATTTTTCCCTCGTATTAACTTATTTTGCTTTCTCATTTCCATCCGTGCGGCCATGGTTATTATGATATGTGTACCTATGTACAGTAATCAAATGCTTGATAAAATGTTTGACAAGCGGCGGGGCACCTAGTGGTACACAAAAAGTGCATGAGCATTCAATTCAATCCAAAACAAGATGGTATTTTTTTGAAACTGGGGATTTATTCGCCATCTAGTGAAAGCTTGATGCCCACGGGGGTGAGTAGAGTAGGTAGAAAAGTCATGAATGCATCGGATTAAGCGAATCCGGACTGCAACAATGGCATCTGCCAATAGGATCGTTGGCGCTACGAAATGGAACGGAAATTTTGGAGAGGTTTAATGCATAGATAGCCGTATATAGTGTAGATATTGAGATGAATGTAACTGCACTGACCGTGTAAATGGCCAAATAAAAACACAGACGGATGGAACGGGACGGCGGTCTTGGCCTATATGTGCAATTAGAGGAAAAGCTCAAGCTCGAAGTTTGTGGGTCGAGCTTGAAACACCGCGACTATCCTGTTTTAACCCGCTAGGAGCTTGTTTTGCTGTTCAACAAAGCAATCGTAGCGATAACATCGGCTGGTTCCAGTAAATGCCAATTTGCAAGCGTCTGCTTCGAGCTGGCACCTACAGTGACCGAGAAAACCCGATCTCGCGGAAGGCTACTCTTTGCCAGAGCGCGGAACATATCTGTCAAATACATAAATTAGTATGTTTCACAATGTGGTGGTTTTTAGGCGACTGGGCAGCAGGAATGAAGAGGCAGATGAACCTTCATCAGTAAAATCGTCACCCAAACACAAAACGAAATCTGGATCCTGGCCTTGACCATGTTTATACTCTTCTACTAGACGAGTGGCAATGGATCCTTTGTTGATAAATGTCGGACGGACCTCTAGATTTGCTTTGCCTGATAGGACCTCGACCGGCCAGCGTTTCAAAACAGTATTTTCAAGGTGTTTCCTGCATTCTGTAGCTTGAAAAGTACCGTATTCTGGATCAGCTCGGCGATAGTGCCAAGTTAAAGCGACCCTCTTTCTCTCGATGAAAGAGCCTTGTGTGCGCTCGGTGTAGTGCTGAAAAATTTCCAGAACTTCCTTCTGCCAACCGATGTTGGATTTCTCAGTCAGGTTCTCCCAATCGTCATTTCGAGGATGGCGGATGAAACACCCATGCTCAGCGCTCAAACCAAGTTCGGAGATATGGCCCATCCACTCATCAAGGAAGGCCTGGTCCCGACCGCTAATAATCCACACAGAATTCTTCGGGTCGGCAGCAAGAGTTTTGATGGTACGTAGTACACGATCCGATGGGATTGCAGCCTGAGGGTCCTTGACAATAGGCGTCAAGGTGCCATCGTAGTCAAACATAAACAAACGGCCACGAGATTTTCGATATTGCGAGAGGAGTCTACTTTTATCAAGGGCAGGGGTGGCGATAGACTGATCGAATGAGGAAAGATTGGTTAGGAGGCGTTTGAGGTATTTGTTGGACCATGAGGTGATTGTGTGCGTTGTGACGTATTTATAGAGTTGGCTGTGTTGAGCTTCTCTTTCCTCCGGTGTCATCAACAGTGCTTGGTTAATGACGTCGGCAACACCTCCCAGATCCCAAGGGTTAATGTGGATAGCACTGCTTAAGCTGCCTGCTGTACCAGAGAATTCAGAAAGGATCAACGGACCGTGATTTTCGTGCTGGCACACAACGTATTCTAGGCTGGTTGTGTTCATGCCGTCACGAACGCTGGTGATAAGGCCAATGTCTGCAGCTCGTAAAAGGGCAAAGTATTCCTGCGGGACGAGATACCGGGAATAATGTTGAACAGGGGAGAAGCTCAGTGACCCGAATCTCCCGTTGATAGTGGAAACAAGATGTGACATTTGACTTGAAATCTTTGCTTCGGATTCCTCCTTCTCCTCTTCCACACTTGTCGGGTTTGTTACTTGTATCAGAACAACCTTGTTGCGCCACTGAGGATACCGCTCAAGAAATGTTTCAAAAGCCATCAGCTTTTGCGTCACCCCGCGTACAGAATCTAGCCGGTCTCTTCCGATAATGATTCTTTTTCCGTGGTATTGTTTTCTGATGCTGTTAACAATTTCACCAATACCTGGTTCTTCGTAGGCAAGCTTCCGCACCGCATCTACGTCAATTCCGATGGGAAAAACATCAACGGCAACATGAGCTCCATACGCATCAATGCCCGCATAATTTGAATCAAACCCCAAGATTCTCGTGCAACAAGAAGCAAAGTGACGGGAATATGAAAATGTCTGAAAACCTATCATATTTGCGCCAAGAACGCCAGTAAGAATATCTTTCCTTTTGGAAAGACATCTCATGAACTCGCTGCTCGGGAAGGGTGCGTGAAGGAAGAAGCCGATGTAGATGTTGGGAATCATTTGGCGTATAATGCCTGGGAGAAGAAACAAATGATAGTCATGAATCCACACTATATCGCCTGGGGTGTAGGTCTCCAAAATGCGATCCGCGAAAAGTTTGTTGAGTCTCACGTAGTCTGCCCACCATTTCCGTTCAGACCAGCCATCAGTCGAGCTGCGTTGTTTATAATGGAGAACAGGATATAGTTCTCTCTCAGGGTATCGCCTCCATCTTCCCTGGTCCTTGAGATATAGGTTTTGATCTGGATATTCTTGTTCGTCGGTTAACCAAATTGGGAGCACCCTTCCAAATCTGCTGTTGCGGAGTTGGGCTTCAAGGTGAATGCGATCCTGTTGTGTGACACATATTCCATCTTGAAATGAATAACTGGGCTTTTCGGAGGGGTCAATTGGGACAGGAGCGGACGCTTTATTCAGAGTGGTAGGGACAGTACCAGCGGGCAGCGACTGTCCCGGGGAAGTCGCATGCCCACTCTCTGGGGTGTGGATTTGCTCGATTTCGCCCGTCCACCCCACCATGATATGATTCCATGACGTTTTTGACGAGGCAAGGTAAGAGAACGAATCAAACAAGGCGGAGGTTCCCGGTCGGTGCTTAAGTTCCTGAATTGGAGAGTAAGCTAGAGCACAAACAAATGAAACAAGTGTGCTGGCATAGGACGCCGCATACCCAGTCACGGCCAGGTCGTATTCTGAGCTTGTACGGGATACAAAATGCAGCACTGATGATTCTTCCCGTCAAATGTAGTCCCGGGTGCCCCTCTTGGGGTTCTATTGACGGCGCAGCGGGTTTTGAAGAACGAACAAGGCTCAAACGACGTAGGAGGTCTGCCCCGGATTTGACTCCTTTAGCAGCCTCCGTTGGGCTCCCAGGAAATTTTGTTAGTGTCCCATGTTGTATATTAACCACAAGCTCGGTATCGTTATTTCTAACGCTTCTCAGAAAATGGTCCGCGTCCGTTGTTTTGGAGCTCATCTCGGGAGCAATCGATTCAGGGTTGCCAGAAGCCGTTCCGCTGGGAGTCCCGACATCATTGGACGCCATTGCCAGGGATCCAGTCAAATAAATACTGCGGGAAAAACCGACTGTCTGTTAGTAAAGTTGGCGCCCTATAGAGAAATACCTTCAAAAGTATAAAATATCGAGAAAAAAAAACTTGAAAAATGAGAAGCGAACATACCGAAATATTTTCCCGCAAATGTGGTGATCTCAGCAAGGTTATTCCGGATTAACTTGAAATAAAGCCAGAGGCTAAAATAACGGGCATAAACTTCCCCAGATCATCTAAGGAACTGGAGTTTATTAGTATTACAAAGGACTAAGTGTAAAAACCGTGAGCCGTGGCAAGAGGAGTGGGGTGGAGTGGGAAAGGAAAGATAGAGCATGGCCAAGAGAAATAAAATAGAAGTTGACGTGACGGTGTCAACGCTTCGATGAGCGTGGTTTCATGGCCTAAGTGAACCTGTTGGAAGACAGAGTTGTCAGCGCCGATGAAGTCGAGATGAGGTCTGGGAATCGGTGGCAGTTGATGATGCGCCTGGTGCGGCTCATCCGCAGCTACGTCACTGCCCAGAACATCCATGTATCTCTCTCTACGATAAAACTGCTGCGACGGAGATAGGCTCAATCCAGCCCAATGATACCTAGGTACGGAGTACTCTCCCCGTACATGAATACAAGCTTTTGTTCTCAAGCAATTGCTGCTATTGATTGGCATCGTTGTCTGCACGGCCTTCTCTCGGGTGTTAACTATCATGGTATTTTGCTTGCGGCTTGCCACTCTGGTCAAACATAGAGTGGCAACCTCACTACCAAGGTGACTGATTCAGAATGGAATCTGCACATAGGTAGCTATTAACAATCCATCCTACGATTGTTCATCATTGATCCATTAGGTCTACTACTTAGCTGGCAGGTGTCGGACTTTTCAGTGGAGAGCTGTCGGTGACTAAGCAACTATCCACGTGACATATCTGTCTTGAGGAAGAGGGATTCGATCCGTCCAAATGTTTTCCAGACCATTGAGCAGACTGGTGTCCAATTCATTTCCACTCCCATAGCCTTCAGCTTTCGAAGGTTATGGTCTCCAAGTCTTTGACACCGCAGTCTGGTGAGCTCTGTATGAGATGCTTCATCGACACGGAACTCTCTCAAAATGCATGGATATATTCCTACGAGCCCGTCGACAGTATCGTAGCGTCTCAGATCGCTGGCGACCAGGCAACCAGATTGAGGTGGTCCCCGATAGCCTCGAGGAGACAATACAAAAACATCGATCCGCGAATCGCCAGACCTTCACTATTCGAAAGATACCCGCTCGAAAACATGATAATGAGAGGGAATTTGTTCGCCCAAGGTCTATACCGACCCGCCAAAAGTCAAATGCACATCTCTCGGTTCCCGCCGTCGCGTTATCGGGACCTCCTACTGACCGAGTGAGGTTGTCCCAAATTCTCAACAGTGATGAAGGTACCAACAATAGATTTGATCTCCACTCCTTTCAAGCACGACGCAACCCTGCAGTCGACCCAACAAGAGCAAATATTTCGTGGGCGAAGAATGCACCTTACGGTCCATCTACCGAACTCCCCTGGCTCAGTTATGCGGAAATGTCCGACGGCGGAGGTATTGCTTGCTTGAGTGAGGAAATTAGAGCCTTTGAAAAATACATGCTGCAAACACCAGGCGAAAAAGATGCTGTTGAAAAGCCCGACATGATGCCGTCGTATCCCTGCAATCAGGAGAGGCGGACTTTCCCATTCTCATCGGGTCACAGAGAACAGGAATGGCCTTGCCGCACTCCTCTGTCGACCTGTTTGTCTCCATCAAGGATCTTGAGAGGGCGGAAGGTGGTCGGGGTCCAAGTGCCACCAGGCCAAAGATGGTGCAAGCGCGGCTCAAACGCCTACGCGAGATTGCGAGTACACTAAAAGATTCTCGCTCACTTTCCAATGTTATGCTGAAAAGAGATAGAGACCCAACCTTAGCAGCTCTCCACGATGCTACGGGTCTGCAGGTGCAATTCCAATGCGGACCCAGTCCACCGGCTTCCATCGATTTTATCCTCAACTACCGCGCAGAATTTCCAACTCTCCGCGCCTTATTCATGGTCTTGCGAATACTGCTCGAAACGCGTGGCCTGTTTGGTGGAGTCGATGGGGGTGTGCGCCCGTATCTCCTAATTATGATGATTGTTGCGGCTCTCAAGATTCGAGAGGGTAAATACCAGCGCGACAACGTGGGCAGTCAATTGCTTCACGTCCTTGAATTTTATAAAGATACAGCTTTTACCAAATACGGTGTTTCTGTTGAGCCGCCTGGTCTTTTCGACAAAGAGGTAGGCGTAAGTGTGAAGAAGAATGGGAAGTTGATTCCTCACCCATATCTAAGAGGCCAACGTAGCATCAGCAAACGTTCCTCATCATCGCCATGCGAGGGTATGCTGAGCTTGCAAGATCCCTCTGATTTCATGAATGACGTGGGATCCACCTGTCTTGTTATGTCCCAAGTGAAACAGCTGTTTAAAGCTACATATGATGATCTCAAAGCTCGAATAAAAACCGAGGGAAAGCAGGGTACTGCCTATAATCATCAACAACAGCAACAACAAGAACAACAACAACAACAATGGCAACGGCAACGGCAGGTCAATGTCGTTGAAAATAATGTGAACAAAGTTGGCGGAAGCATGCTTAGTGTGGCCCTGGGTGCTAACTACCACAACTTCGAAAGATTTCGAGATCGACTTCTCGACGTTGCTTCTCCCACAGGACCTGTCCGCACTGGCGAAATGGATCACAATTTTGAACTGCTCCCACTCCCACTTGGGGAGGTGAGGACGCATATGGAAAGTTGGCCCGCGGAGGAAAACAAAGAAAAGTGTGTTCCTCCTGGATAGCTTGCTTCCCTGCATCCGTGATTAGGTACACTTGTGGCTCCATGATACTAGATTTCCTTCAGACTTACAACCGCAGTTCCCCTTATATCTGAGGCTGGCTCTTTGCCTTAGGCAATTCCGGCTCGAACAGAGCTCATCTAATGGAATGATGCGTCAAATGAGATGGATAAAAACATAATCGTTAATGCGAAATGTCGCAGCACAGCTCTTGTCAATATTCTCCACTTCCATCAAACTCTTTAGTCCCTTCTTCCTCTTTATCTCCATTTGACTTTTCTCTGATCCTTACAATAATAAGTGTAGGTGGCTCTGGTAATTAGAGCACATAGTCCGGGATCAAAAAGGAAGTACTCTCCTCTCTCCCATACCCCTGCATGACGGATCGACATATCGCCAGAAATCTATGGATCTGTAGCGATGATTGAGGGGGGGTTTCTAATATCTATGTATACATATGTAAAAAGCCTGAGCAAATGCAGATCACTAAGGCTTCAGGGAAGAAACAGAAATAGAGAATGAGAGAAGAAAAAAAATCTTCAATCTAGTATACAATTCCCATCCATCAACTCTCTAACTTATTCACCCCAATCACTTAATCTAACTCGACGCTCCACCTCTCAATCATTTTCTCCCCACCACGTCCACGCACCCAATTCTCCAACCACCTCCTCTCCACCACCTCCGCCTCTCCATCCTTCAACCCAACCGAAACATCCACCCCACCTCTTTCATGCACTGCGATCCTGATCTCATCCGCATTCATCCCATCAACACCTCCATTCTTCACAATCAACCAATCATCCACCTCAAGGTACCTCATCCACCTCCTTAACCTCGGTCGATAAACCTGATTAACAACTTCCGCCACCACAAACCCCGGCAACAATGAACCACCAGCCAACTCATGGCCCCGACTCAGCCCGAAAACCGCACACGCCCTCAGAACCCCCGCCGTCGACGCATGGTTGATCAACCCATTAATATCAACCGAAGGCGGTATCGCCGTGGCATTAAGTAGCACATCCAAATTCGCAATGGCGTTTGCCTTCAGGCTAAGCTCCCCACCACTGACACCATCGGCAGCAGCAGCGGCAGCCCCATCCACCTCCGCAGCCCTCACAGCCCTCTCCTTCCGCAAACACGCCTTAACGCGCTCCTTCTCCACCTGCCTCGGCACCCGGCACGTAAACGGCGTAACCAAGCTGCCGAGCGCCAGCACGACAAACGGCGTCATCTCCCCGCACAGCATCAAGATGAGCGAGAACGGAATTATGCGGCGCACGTCGTACGCCGCGCGGCGGATGAGCTGGAACTCGCCGCGCGAGACTTTCGCCGCATACTCTTCCAGCATGGCGGCGTTGTTGATGTGTTTGACGGCGTAGGCGGGCGGGGGTGGGGAGGTGGGGAAGATGAGGGGAGAGGCCTAGTCGGCGGCGCAGGGGGAGGGCGGCGCGGTAGTTGTGGTAGACATTTTTGAGGCCGGTTTTGTAGAAGGAGAGGTAGGCTTTGCCGAGGGTGAAGTAGTATTTTGCCTTGTTGGCGGTGGGGTCCTTTGGAGGGAGGGAGAGGGGAGCGGGGAGGGTGGATGTCGATGCATTCAGGGGGGAGGTTTTTGTGACGGTTGGTAGGGTGGTGGCCGTGGTGGCCGAGGTGGAATCGGAGGTAGTAGGAGGTGGCTTTAGGGGCCCTGGTGTGCTGGAGAAATGGGCGCTACCAGCTCCATTGTTGATGAGGAAGGGTAAGAGGTATCTGTCTTGTATTCTTTGGCGGTCACGGACATGCGTTGGGTGTGGTACATGAGGGGAGCGGAATCCCGCTGGGAGGACAGATACGGTAGCACAAAGGCCACGGGTCGAGTTGGCTAACATTGCATGGAAGAAAAGTAAATGGAAAAGGAAAATAAAAAGAAAAAGAAAGAAACCAAAGAGACAATGGTCATGGACCAAATAGTAGACTGAATTCTTAGGATTTGAATGTTGAACAAAATCCTGAATCAAAAATTCTGCTTAGTAAGATATCCGGGTTTGATGCCAAGGCCAACAGGATAATTCGTATGAATGAAATCTCATTTTTGAACTATGAAACCTACGAAAAGCAAATAGAAGTCAAATGATCGACTAGGGGCTTCAGGGCGAGGGTGGGCAATTGGACAACCAAAATAATAAACTAAACTTTGCTTCTCCAACGAGACGGAAGGCAGAAAAGATATTGTAGAACGGAGTGAGAGGAGAACTACGCAGGTAACAAGAAATTTGTGGACAAAACAATTGCACGGGAGCCTAAAAAGAATTTAGAAAATTAAAAAGTAATTCGGTCACCCATGTCATCACCGCCCATCTGTCTCCTTTCACAGCTTACCTCCCCTTCGCTAATGTCAAGTGCATCGCTGCCCTGATAAGCGCAGCTCCCCTATCCAACAAGACATCATCCGGTCGCCAGAATCATCGTCCGCATATATACCCGCTAGTCGTTTCCCATCAAGGCACATCCCGGTATATTTGCTCGCCTTTGTTAGACATCCGAAAAGAGATATAACGTACCAAAAAATGCAGAAAGGATTGGCAAAAGACGAGAGAAATACAAAAGAAGAAATATTCATTAATATCTCAGCTTTCTTAGTTCTCGATTTTCTGCTTTTTCGTATCAGAAAAAGAAAGAAAAAGGGAAAGGGAAAGGTTGAAGAAAAAGTATGAAAAAAGGCAGACAATTAACCAGAAGGGACAAGCATCAAGTCAAGTACATTTGTGAAAGAGTCGAAAAAGGTAGATCCTTTAATGCTTCTCTGGCTTCTGAGCTTCAAGAGAAAATTCCTGGTCACTGGCGTCGAGTATATCGTATTCTTCATCTGTCAGGAAATCGTCTTCAGTCGAGTGCTCATCATCAAGAGTGAGGCTCTCGACATCATCTGGCAGATTGCGATTCTCAGGAAGTTCACTGGCCGGGAGAACTGTAGGAGAGGCTGATTTGTGGGTACTCGCGGAGGGTGATTCTGTCTCCAGTTTGGGGAATATCATTACGCTCTCAGACTGAGACTCCCCACGAGAAACTTCAGCATCGCCGGCTTCCGTGCAGGGTTCAACACTCGGTTCCGCTGTTTCGACAGAGAGCTGTTTGTTATTTTCGGTCTGCTCTGGAAGTGCCTTCGAATCCTCAACCGAATCTCGGACGTCCACATCACACCAAAGCTTGTGGCCAAAAGCAGCACCGTCAGGTGTCTTGAGACGCCAGTAAGAAATGGCCCGGCCTTCACGATGAGGGGTCTTTAGTTCAATAGTAAAATTAGCAGAGGAAAATGGGGGAACGGGTGTAGTAAGCTCTTGCGTTTCCATCGCGGATTCCAAATTGCTGAGACTCGATGGATGATTGGTGTCGATGTTGAACATGGTATCCCCTCCAACAAAGCGAACTCTGCATCCCTTTGGCCACGGGATGGGGCCTGGATTGTACAGAGTCCATGTTTGCGTGATTGTTTTGTTTGGGCCAAAGCGCGACCCGTCAGGAATGATGTCCCGAACGAAGAGAGCGTGGAGTTTGGAAGGTGTACAACCTGGCTCTGTTCTGGTGTTTGTAGTTTCTCCTTGAACGCTTGGCTGTGCGATGTTGGAATCTGTATCACTGGCTTTCTCATGGACTGCCTTCTCAGTCTGCACCTGAGTGGCAGCATTTGATTTTAAAGGCGCCACAGTCTCAGTTGAGGTTGATTTCGTACTTGGTCGATCACCATGTGTAGCAGCACATTCCCCATAGATGCCAGTATCGCTGAAGGTAGTGACTGTGGCATTGCGAACAGGGGTTTTGAACTTGATTAAAGGATGCGTGCGGTTGTGGGTATTGTCAGGATGAGCTTCGCAATTTCCACAGAAATCAGTATCGTGGCAAACGGCACATTTATAACGAACTCCTTTGATATAAGCCGCCTTAGATGTCGCAGAGCAGAGAGGGCCATCACAGATAACGCCACAGTGGATCTGGAGATAACCATGCGGCTCCGGAATAGGAGTATAAAGCGGAGCAAAGCGATGACCAGGGTGCAATTCGGTGGCGCTCCTGACGCACTCTGAACAATAATCCCAGTCCGGACAGTTAAGACATTTATGCCGGACGCCTTTTATAGACTGCATGACATTAGCACAATCAAACTCAGATATCAGGGGCCATGGGAATCAGAAGCTGACCTCGTTACATCCATCGCAAATTGCAGCGTGGTAACGACCACGTCCAGGCTGGCAAGTCGACATGACAAGGCTCTTTGACTGGAACTCGCCATCTACTATAAGGGAGAAAGAATGCGCAGGATGGTGACCATGTCTGTCCGCGAGAAGACAAGTGAAGCACAGGTCATAGTCTCCGCAATCTTGGCAGTTAACGAGTTCTTTCTCGTTGAAGCCTTCATTAATAGAAACATCAGCAAAATGCCCAAGTATATCCAACGATCGAGAAAGAATAAGTGTAACATACATCTGAAACATGCATTGCAGGTCCGTTCTCCAGCCTTTGTATCCTCAATTTCTATAGGAGTGGTATGCTCTCTAGTGCTGCTGAGCTCCACTTGAGGTTCTGGCTCGGGAATTTTCCTTGGAGCAATGGTCTCCGTAATGTTGTACTTAATTCTGCCGTCGCTGACAGTGCGCTTGATCAACCAATGCCCTTCGCCGGGACAGAGGACACCTGCATCGATGCATTTCTGGCACAGATCGTAATCACCATCATCACAAATACTGCAATGGTAATGGGCATCGGGAACACCGGTGCCGCAGTGATTACAGTCAATGCAAATTGGGGATGGCGGAACGAATTTAGGGCCACCAGCACACATAACTGCAGGCGTTGACGCAGGATTCGATTTCGCGAGCTTCATGCCTTTCTGAGGTTCTGCCTGAGTAGATATCTTGTTGTCGTCCTCAGCTGGGTTCTCTGCTGGAACGTTCGGGAACATGGAGGCCTTCAAGGGAGGCGGTGCAGGAGCTGCAGAGGTAGTATGATCAACTTGATTGACCAACCCGTCGATGGGAACACGTAGAACCGTGTCGAGGTAGCTGCATCGCTGCTGGGGTTGTTCTTGCTGGACATCTGTGCTCTCGGGAGGTGGGGATGGCAGGCTGTGGTCAGGCTCAGGCTCAGGCTCAGGCTCATGATTTTGAACCCGAGTTACCTTGATTTGAAGCTTCAATTTGGCCTTCGCAGCACGATAGAGTTGCTTGTATACAGAAATGTTCTCGCTGTCGAGGACCACATAGGAGCCAGCGCTGTCGGAATAACGTTCGAGTGTGATATTGGCGTCATCAGGGATACTTAGAAATTGGCGAATCTGCAGGATTTCCAGTCCAACTTTAGCCATAAATTCAATAAATTCAACAAGAGAAAAATAAAAATCGTCCTCGAGGATCCTGGGAATTCAGGACATGCCCGATACACGTAAATGTAGAACAGAACCATTATCGTTTAGAACGAAATGGCAAAGACGAAAGGGGGAGAAGGAGGACCAGTTGCATACCTTCTGTGGCAGGGAGTAGGCACCAAGCTCTCGCAAGGGTAGCTTGAAGCGTCGATTGTAGCCCTCGAAGAGGGTTTTGATAGAAATTGGAGTGTCGGGGCCAACAAGAGTCGGCTGAGGAGGTTGGAATGGAGCAGCCATGGTTTATGGCCTATGGAGATCGATGAAGCTGGGTGGGAGGTGTTGATGATAAGAGAACTTCAAATCCGGGGAAAGCTGCTGATGACGGAATGGATAGCGAAGTGACGAAGTAAAAAAGCAAAAACAACAAACACAGTGGACAAGTGGACCGAACAGGGTCGAGAGGCAGACTACATAAGAAGCAGGGAGAGAGGGTAGATAATGGAGGATGGAGGATGGAGGATGGAGGATGGAGGATGGAGGATGGGAGATGGAGGATGGGAGGCCAGCGAGATAAAGCGGATGGAGGTTGAGGTGAGGTTTGAGGTTGAGCAAGGCGAGGCCAGTGAGGTGAGGTGAGGAGTTGCCTTGCAAGACCCGGCAATTGGCTGCTTGGCGGCAGCTCCAACTTTGCAGCAGAGCACGTATTCGGTACGTATTGGTATTTTTGCGTATTCTACCACCCAGTATTACGCGGTCTCGCCCGCCTGCACACCTGCTTCTGCCTGTGTCCGCCCTAGTTTCCATGGCGGTATGGTAAAATACGGTCTCCAGCCAACCAGGAGGCGTTTGCCGCAGCGCTGTATGATATCATTTGTGACCGTGTCCTATCATAAGGAGCGAGCCACCATGGATCCTCACCGCCTGCCCAGGTGGATGCGGCGGAAGATTGCTCACATGACGTTGTTCTACGCCGTAACGCCGTAACGCCCACGGGTAAGTCACGCCATACAACCCGGTTACGCAGATTCGTGAACAGGCAGACATCTCTACGAAACTCTCCATGATTGTAGTGGGATACTCATGTCAAGCGGGGCCACGCTATGCTCTCACTGCTTATGCGGTATGTTATCGTGTGCGACACTGCGAGCAAGCTTCTCAAACTGCTTCATTCAATAGGGCTTCAAGCTTGATTTGAAGTATTTATTCTCGTCAGACCTGTTCGCAGCTCACCCATCTCTCCCAGTGCGGATAATCCTACCTGACTGGGAACCAGAAGATGGGCCGATGAAGGCTCTGGGTCTGGGAACAATTACCAATGACTTTCAATTCTCGGAAGTAACGGGCACAAACAGGAAACGGATCCATCGGGTTCTTTTTCCTCCCCTTTCCGGCTTCGCCAGGCTCGACAGCTGAGCAAAAGAGCTTGAAAAGGATACACATGTTATAATCTCATGAATATACATACTCTGGATAAAAACCTTTTCCCGTCCCGTTTGGCCCCCACAACTCCGAAGCATCTTTTTTTTTTTCGAACTCTCTTCTTCCAAAATGGTCCCCTGAACGAATTCATCCCGTTTCCCAAGCATCATCCTCTTATCAGGGACTGTGGATCCCGAACAGTCTCGGTGTGTTCTCTTTCAATCCATTCATCTGTACCGCTGAATAGGGCTAGAGATGGAATTATCTGCACCCTGAATATCCTTTGGTTATTCTTATTCATCGATACTTTCTTATCCAATCAGTACATGTAACTAGTTAACTATGCGAAGTTGCATGTTAACCTTCCTCTCTGGGGCGATCTTTGCCTCAAGCAACATGAGATTGACCCTATTTCCTTTGAGCTTTCAAAGATACATCACATAGCATTTATTTAAAATGATAATCTCTTTCCGTTTGGAGGATTTTCTCTTCAGCTCCCAATCTTTCTATATAGCCTGGGTATCACCGAGCTTAAACATCTCCCCCATTTAAAATGAAGAAGACCCGTATCAGGAAACAAATTTTAACCATTAACGCTAGCATTTTTCGGCATCCCAATCCCAACAGCAGCGGTGGCTCCGGTATCCACAGGAAGCTCAGCTCCTGTGATCCATCTGGCATGAGGGCCAGCGAAGAAGACTACTGCGCCAGCAGCATCTCAACCGTTCCCCCCCTGTACCAAGCAAGCTTCTTTTCCGCCTAGCCTCTCAAGCCTCCTCCGTCATCCCTCTCCCATATCTATATATATGTCAGCCGGATACCCAAGAGTCAAAAAACAATAAACGAAAATATATATATATATATACAAGGAAAAAGAATAGAAAAAAACCTTGAAACCCCCCTCCAGTCAAATGGAACATACCCCAGGACAGACACAATTAACCTTAATTCCGTCCACCGCATGATGCGCAGCCATCGCTCTGGTCATATTAACCACCGCCCCTTTATCCGTCGGATAGAGCAAATGCGGAATTGAGCTACGGGTGGTGCGTGCAGATGCCGCCCAATGTCAATGTTACTAGGTACGCAGCGGCTACCTTGCTGCTTCTAATAAATAATTAATTTCAAGTGTTTCCGAAGGGACTACTCGCATTTCTCGTATTCGATAGCTATTTGAACGTGTCTAGAGGTCAGAATGTGAATCTGAGCTGATTGTTACTCGGCAATGGGCAGTTTATTATATAGCGGAAAGGCAATTTCGGTATTCGGCATAGCATAACCCTTAACAGTGACTAGTGCTAAGTAGTTTCACAGGATATTTACATTCGTACTTGTATGTCATAAATCGGGGAACAGTCATAGAACTTCTTCAGGCAGTCCGGGCTTGAACATGTTATGTATTAACTAATTGGCAGTGATTAGTGAAGTTACAATGATCAGGTGCTGAATGGGGTTTCGAGATGGTCTCCTATACCATACACAACCTCGCATTCTTCGTTTTTGCCCAAGCCCCACGACTCCATTGACCCCACTCACGCCTCTGCCCCTTCAGACGCACAACTCCTCGCCCTCTTTTCTGCTCTGTCTCCCTTCGCATCTATCCAGCCGCCATGGTTCTCCCTTGTCTGGCTATTGCCATTCTCTTCAGCTTTCACCCTCCTAACTACCTCCTTCCCGAACTTCACCACACCCCGATTCCTATGTTTCCATGACGCCTCCCCCAAAAAGACCCTCCGAAACTCCCAATCTCTCTCAAACCTCCGTCTGGCATCATGACCAAGAAGCATCATGCCATCGTAGCACTGAGCACCGGTAGTCTCCATACGACGCTTATTCGACATAACTTTTCTTTTCCATTTCCGTGCCTGGTCTCCCGTCGTTTTCCAGAGGGAGTATATGTCAGGGCGCCTATAGGTTCTGCTGGAACCTGCTGCACGGCATAGATTGATGAGATCCAGGGAATAGGGTAAGTAATTTTCCCCGCCGGAGAGTTTTCGGAGAGTGTTTATTTCGTTCGCCGTGTAGATGTTCAGAGAATTTTCGATAGCTTCACGGATGGAGAGGGTCAGAGCGTAGATGTCCAGCTTGGGGCTGATGACTCCAGAGGAGCAAGGGTCGACGGCTTCCTAATTGCGTGAGAAATTCAGGTTAGATCACTTTTATCTTCTCTTTGCTTCAATCTGCTGGATTATTATTATAGCTCCTATTTTACCGGGGGTAAAAATCCTGCTGTTCCCTCCATGACATAGGCTTTCTTATATGACCGAACATCATCATTAGGGATGCTGTAGGCCAGTCCTAGGAACATGTTAACCAGCCAAGCAATAATACAGCGAGGGGCTGTACTCACCGAAATCTCCGAGATAACAGGATGGGTAAAGCTCATCACTAGCTGGCGGCGGTATTGTACCTAGGAAAACTGAAACAGCCAATGGATTTTCTTAGCCGGGAGGTATGTTGAGAAGGAAGAACGGATACTTAGGTCTCGCGTCTCAGTGACAGAGAGATGGTATTACTTACTGTTTGCTGGCTTTACGTCCTTGTGTATGATTTCCTCCCAGTCAGGCCTTCGCTGGGGCCCTGCATGGCCATGTGCACAGTATAGTAAAGCAGTCGCAATTTCATGAAACACGTGCCATAGAAACGCTTCGGGGAATAGGAGCCTTAGTCGGTCAGACAAGTGTTAGATGCCTCCATGTACCACTTGAGAAGAAAAGGCAAGAAAGACATTGGCGATAGGGATTACAACCGGCCAACACAGGAGAGAAAGCTGTCCGACAAAACAAAGTGATAAACTAAAAATGAGATAATGAGAAAATGCTGCCTACTTATATTGCATGTAATGGGTATAAAGTCTAGCTAATGACCCCCCTTCGTAATACGCATAAAGGATGCGAAAAGAATGGCCGTGCGCGATCGCCTTAAGGGGTTGCGGATTGAGGTCAATCCAATCATACACCCTGACAACATTTGGGCACCCGACGGCGTTCAGTCTCCGTGTTAGGTTTCCCTCCGAACAGTAATCATTCCAGAACTCATCATTCTGGGTGTCCTTTACTGCGAACAAGATAGGGTCCTAGGGCGGGATATTATCTGTCAATCACTCCGTAGAAATTTGCTCCACACGTCAATCATAGTAGGTTCCGTTCTGAGACTTAGACAAACCGCAAGAAGGGAGAGTAAAGTGCAAATATTAGAGGGGGAGAAGGATGGCAAATAACCAAAAAAAAAAAAAAAAAAAAAAAAAAAAAAAAAAGGAATGACGAGAAGTAGGATAAAAAGAGAAAAGAAAACCCACCCTATCACCAAACGGGTACCATTTCCAGCACTGTACATATCCAAACCCGCCTCTTCCCAGCTCCCCCAAATAAATCCACTGATTCTCCTCACTCGCAGGTCCTTGACACTTCCACCGTAGGTCACGCCCGTATTCATCCTCCTCGTACTCGTCAGTATACTCCTCATCCTCCGTCATCTCCACAAACTTTCTAAGCTGCTTCTTAAGCTCATCCGCGTATTCCCACTCGCTGTCAGGGCCGAGGTCGTCTTTAGCTAATTCCTCCTCATAATATCTGATGGCATCGGGCCCTGGTATCCCAGCCCATTCATTGCCATGTTTGTATACCTCTTGGAAGCGGTGGCGGAAGCCGGGTGGGATTTGACGATGCTGATGCTGACGCTGAGGTTCACCCTGACTGTTTTGTTGGTCTGGCTGATTGGCTCGTCTTCGCTTGGAGAGCAGGGGAATGAACTGGCATTGTCTAGGAGGGAAGAGGGGGTTAAACTCATTTTTCGAAGTTTTTGGTCGACCTCCCATGGCAAATGGAGGCCCCTGGAAAGGCTCCCAGTTCGGATTTTCTGTCACATTCATGTCCTTCCGATTGGACTGTGGGTTCTGGCAGATTGAGTCAGGATCAAAACTCGATGGTTTGTTTGGCTCCCTTTCTTCTCTCGATTTGAGTGCCCGTCTAACCTTCGTTGCTTTCCTATCTACTTGGAGAGATTTCGTTTCGGTGCTCCCTAGTGATGTGCTGTGAAGAGATGGAGGATGCAAATTGAGCGAGTGTGAGCGGTAGAGTCCTGACATTAACATATTAAATGAAAATAGGCCACATTCTAATATATAGCAGACTATATTTTTTTTTTTTAAAAAAAAAAAAGAAAGTTATTGAGTACAAAAGGGCAACGCGGGCTCTGAGGGTAGAATTAAAATAAGAAATGCCATTGTTCAATGAAAATGCAACAAAGCTGTTTTTTAATCAAAGAAAACGAATGACAAATGCAACTAAATCAGGAATATTCTGGGGCATTCGAGATTGCAAAGCAAGAGACCCCGAAAAAGAAGATATAAAATGCACTTTGATTGCAGGGGAAAGAAACATAGTACACACACAAGGAAAATTGTAAACAAGGACATAGATGGGCGTAAGAACTGCGTGGACTGTTATTAACGGAGTGGACACACCGAACAGCATTATGCCGCTGCCCCAGCTGCGGAACTTCTCTTAGCACGCTTCGGGGCATCTTCCTTTTTCTTCCTCGAACGGCCACCACTGCCACCTTTGGGTCGATAGCCTCCATCCTCGTCTCGTTTTCGCTTTCCGCGAGTCCCGCCGCCTGACACTCCCCCTCCTCCACCACCCAACGGAGTGTCAATCAATATACCATCTTCGTCGTATACATCTTCTTCCTTTCGCGTGTGGGTACTCGCTCGCTTCGAACTACGCGGATTGTTAGAACGGGGAGGAGGCTTTTCGGATGCTGCTGCATCGGCATCTTGCAGAAAGACTTGCGGTTGATGTTTCCTCAACCAATTTATCACGGAAACTGGATTCCGGACAGCAGCTTCTCTATCCCTACTCGCGGCTGAAACTGATTTCCCTGTTGGTCTTGGTTCCCCACATGTAGCGGCATCAAGCGCTGCGGAATATTCAATTTCATGTTCTGGACTTAGAAAACCAAGATTTGAATCCACGTCGCATTCCATAGCGGGTCGACTCGATGTCGTATGTGGAACCTTTAGTAGCGAAGAATAATGCACTGCGGGAGCGAAGTTCTCACTCCGAAGGAGAGACTCTTCCAGGCGACGGCATTGGTCGGGCTTGATTTCTCCAGCCAACAACCTCGCTTTCGCGACTCGCAGTGCCTCGCGAGCAGTTTCTATATCATAGGACTCTTGTTGGTGATGCTCAGGATCCGGAGAGCCTACTCTCGGTAACTTGGAGCCTGGGAGGTCAAGGTTATATCGGAGCTTGGGGGGAACACGTATACTGCTGTTTAGTTCTAAGAGTGCTTCGAGAAGTTGACTATAAATCGAATTGAGTTAGTAGAGTTATAAGAGGTTAGATATCGTGGGATCGCGTACTCATTCTGTTCTTTTAGCCGCTTGGAGAGGTCACGAATCCTCAGTTCTTCCTTGAACAAAGCATTGCTTTTTTTCATAGCATGTTCAAAGGTGATCTTTTGCTTCGCATATTTTCTCCTATATAATACAGTCAGTTGACGCCGGTTAATCTGAACACATGGCGAACTGACTTGAAAGACTTGTACGTGGTCTGCTGTGCTAGAGGCGGCGCATCGGGCAAGCTCCTATCTGGCGAAGGAGAGGCAGGCTCAGGAGACGCCATAGCAAAGGTTGATGTTGTTGCGCAATGGGAGACAGAGAGAGCTTAGTTCGACGGAGGGCCAGGTTGAGCGCGGATGTAAAAATAACAATGCTAGAGATGGTGCCGGTTGGTGGCTACTTGTCTGGTTTGACCTTGACGCTTGGGAGCCGACGGCTGGAAGCCTGCATGTCAGGTCTCTACGGCACACCGTAAAATTTTCTTTACCAAAAAATTCAGAACTGGTAAGATCCACCCTTTGCGCAATCCATTGCTTAATTATTCTCATTTATCCCTTCATGTATTGAGGATTTCCAAGTAACTGTGAGTGCCTGAGCCATAGCCATTATTTTATTGTTGCTGTACATTGTCTACTCTCAACTTCCACGGAATGTCTGGTCTCAAGGAGGCCACTCCCTCAGACTCTCCACCTACGACTCGTAAACGCAAGCTAGACCAAGTCCCAGCTCTCGAAATTGATTTATCTGCACCAGAACCTCCGTCGAAGAAGGCACTTCGAAAAGCAAAAAAGAAGTCAGCAGCATCACAAACCTCTGATCCCTCTGCCCAAACCTCAACAATAAACCCAGCTTCAAAACCCCAGGCTGCGGAACAAGCAGAAAAGCCCTCGAAAAGGTCTGATTACGGAGTCTGGGTCGGCAATCTGCCCTTTGTCGTGAAGAAGGACGACATAAGGGCATTCTTTACCAGTTCAGGGACTTTGAAAAGCAGCGATATCACACGGATACACCTGCCCGAAGGCCCAAAGCAAAATGGCAAGGCTCAAAACAAGGGATTCGCCTACGTCGATTTCACCAGCAATGAGGCAATGGAGACCGCAATTGCGATGAGTGAGCAGCTAATTAATGGTCGTCGGGCATTGATTAAGAATGCAAAAAGCTTTGTGGGCAGGCCTGATAAGCCAAATGACGAGGCTACCAGTAATAAGGCTTCCAAACTCTCCGCTCATGCTCCCTCCCGGCGAGTGTTTGTCGGTAATCTTGGGTTTGACGTGACAAAAGAGATTTTGGAAGAGCATTTCAAGCCGTGTGGGGTTATAGAGCATATACAACTTGCGACATTTCAGGATAGTGGCAAGTGCAAGGGCTACGCTTGGATTGAGTTTGAGGGTATTGACGCGGCAGAGGTTGCGATGAGAGGATTTGTGAATGTTCCGGAGAAAGATGAAGATGGCGATGATGATAGTGAGAAGGACATGGATGGCTCAAATGCAGAGGCTGCGTCCAGTAGCGAGGAATCGAAGAGCACCCGAACCAAGGAGAAAAAGAAGAAAAAACCAAAGATGAAAAGGGTATGGGTTAACAAAATTATGGGCCGCTCGCTACGGATGGAGTTTGCGGAAGACAAGGCAACCCGGTATAAAAAACGGTTTGGGAAGGATGGGACGTCAAAGGATAAATTTGGTACGGAGCCGGAAAGAGGTGACGGGCAGGTCGGGGGCAATAACATAGAAGCCCTTGCAATTGAAGAAAGTATCAGAAGGGGATACTAGGTCGTTCCTAAAACCGAAGGCTGGGAAGAGGCAGCGGCCTTCGAAGAAGGGGGAACCAGGCAGCGGGAGTCGGTATGCGCAAGATGTGGTCCACAGGCTTCGTGGAGCTATTGTCGAATCTCAGGGAAAGAAGACGACGTTTGGTTGAGTTTCCCGTTTTGCTTTTGGATACATATCTTTCATCTATCTATACGCTACATGCCCATCTCAGCGTCATGCCACCATATGTAAGGAAGCTTTTCTGTTGCTGCGTGTATATACTAGTATTTTTTTGTAGCAAGATACCGATCCTCCCGGAGTAGATGACATTTTTAGTTAGATAATCAGTTGTTATAGTTATCAATACACGCGAAAAATACAAGCATGCGCCATACCCGCGCTTGACATTTTCGGCTGCTGGCTTTTTCCCTAGGAGAACATGTGCATGATGCAGCAATTGATGCGAACCATGTTCATAAAACATTTCCAACAATAGTATTTGCACCACAGAAGCCGGAGAGAAGAAAGGGCTCAACAAGGAAAGGACATGTGCTGGAAATAAGCAAAATTCGTCACCTTGAAAACCATACAAAGCCCTTTCAGCAGCATACAGTAGAATACTACTAGCTATCTATCCTTTTTAAGTTCGTTGCTGTCCTTGTTTCCCTTTATTTTTATTTGTCTTTGCCACATTTTTTTCTTGCGATGGTTCAGCCAGAGGTTAGGTAAACATCCAGGCTAGCTCCATTAGGACTAGTCACCTCCATCGCCAAGCCCGTGATGTTTTTGAGATCAACCCAAGACCAAGGAGCGCAATAAATGACGACGACGACAACAACAACAACAACAACAACGAGAGCGTGAGAGAAGAAAGAGAAGAAGAGAAGACGACGACGAAGAAGAATAAGAATATAAGAACAGGAGGAGAAGGAGGAGAAGAAGAAGAAGAAGAAAAGACCCTGACGACAACGACGACAACAACGACAACCACCACCACCGCAACAGTTAAACTTTACAGCTTTGCAGTCTCACTGGTTGCCTCTTGCTTTTTGCATATCTCGGCCCATCAGCAGACATTCAGCGCCTCTCACCTTATCAACTACCACCTCTGAGCTCCTCTCGCCTCTCAAATCCACACATATCTCCCTCCAACATAGTCAGTGTCTGAGATATCTCTTCCGCCGGGGGAAGCACAAGGATTTGTTTTGGTGACCTTTGACTGTATCTCCAGATGGCTCCCCATCGCCGAAGTCGTATTGTTAGCCGGAGGAGGACAGAGGACGAAGGCGATGAAAACGGCTCCATGAACGGGGATTTTGAGGACGACTCTCTGAGTGATGGTACTATTTCACCACACGAGGATGATGATGCCGATGAAGAAGGGAGTGATTTTAGTGAAAAAGACACAGCATCTGGGACGGAGGAACTACCGGCAACAAACGGACGGCCGCAGGTTACTGATCGTCTCGGGAGTGGTGATGCTCAACAGGGAGGCAAATCCGCGCCGGCTGTCCGACGACTCTTCGGAGCAACAGTGTCGGATACTGAGGTTATGCTGAACGGGCTGAGGTTGTCCGATGGCGAGGAAGGCGTCGAGGAAATCCATTTTGATGACATGAAGGAAGGCCTGGATAGTTCTATCGCCACCCCGAAATCTGCGAACAACAAGGGACATAGGGGAGAGACATTTGCGGAGAGAAAGCGGCGTGAACTTGAGAAATACATCAAGGAACGGGATTCTAATCCAGCCTTCGTACCTACTCGGGGTGGTTTCTTCCTTCATGACAAGCGGAATGCTGGTTCCCCGCCAAATGGCTATCGTTCACCACACAATACGAACGGCAATGGCAAACTGAAGACTCGCCCTTATGGTCTCATTGTCGATAGCAACGCTGCAAGGTTAGTATAGCACTTGTTCTAAATATTTAGTATTTTTGCTCTTTGTCGTTGCTTGCTTTTTTATATTGGAACCGGTAACTGATTCTACCCCCTGGTCGTTCAGACGCCCTGCTCCGAAACCAGACGTAACTGTTGGACAGTGGGCGCACGATCTACACGATTCTATTGTTCAAGATACCCGCCCAGTACCATCCACTTCGGCCACCATATCCAATACCACTTCCCTCTCTAATCCCCAGAGATCTGTCCCCACTGCTCCTCGATCATCTCCTCCAAACCGATCCTTCTCCAGCTCTGTCCTGGTAGGCAATGTCCCTGTCATCGTCTTTCTCCCGGGTATGAAGGCGCCTATCCCTTACTCCGCCGTACCTAAGAAACAACACACCCGCCTTCCCCAACATCGGCCGCCTCTTCGTCGTGATAAACCTGTTAGAATATCTTTACCAGGGCAGCCGCCCCGATACATTTTCCCCGCCACAGAGCGATCATTTATCTTTATACCGAGGGCGCTAAGACCAAATCAGCAATACCGTCAACGAGGCCGTGGTGGCTTCTACGGCGGTGGTGGCAGGAGAACGAGTCTTTACGGAGGGAGCATATATACACCAAGTGTAGCCATGAGCCGCAAATCATCAGTTGGTAGGGTGCCTGACATAGTCCATTCGCCTGCGGGTTCTGTGGTTTCCCGTGTTGGCACTATGCCCGGTGAAAGGTGCGAAACCCGGTAGTACGACTACCACCTTCAAATTAGACCTCCCGTTGGACCCCGGTTTTGTTCAACCTTATGGACTTGGCCCGCAAATGCATACCGCTCATCCCCCTTCATACACGATGCCTCCACCTCCTGAATACCGTGAGAACCAGCCGACACCTAACATCCCGATGCATCAGCCACGACCACAGAAAACGGTTTCTGTTGCGGATATCGAATCCCCGGTTACATACCAATTTAATCCCCCTCAAACGCAACAGGAACAACCATTCCATCATCAAGTTCCACAACCCGTCAATGGGGGTTTCATGCCTGATTCGACCATGTATGCTCTCCATGCACGTCATACCTCACATGTTTCCCAGGCCTCTGCAACCCCTTTATCCCAAATCCCCGAGCGTGCCATCCACGCTCAACCTTTCCAGCCATATCCTTACCAACAACCCCAACCATATTATACGGAACCAGGTTATCAACCTGCCCCTGTATTCTATCCCGCAACAAACCCGGAGTATCCAACCTACAACGCATCCGCTCAGCCTAGCCACCCACCAGTCTATGCCACCCAAGGACAACAAATGCCTTATTCCATGCACCCTCACCAACCTCCAGCTAGTGACCAAGTGCAAACTCGATCCGGCACAGTTGCGCATGAGTCAAACGGCACGGTATATTACTACGATACTTCACAGTTGGCGGGTCCCACATACCCACAGCAGCCGAACGCACCATATCCTGCGGCATCTCAGAGAGCGCCGCAGGGAGGTGTTGTTGGTATGGGCGGTATGATAACACCACCGGGAACGACCTACTATTATCCTCAACCCCAAAATGGAACGGTATACTATGCATGAAAATCCCTTGGTTCTGCCATGATTATTATACGTCATGTCCTTTTTTCCCGTTTTCTTTCTTCCTTTTTTGTCTTTATGCTCCTCTTTTATTTTCTTCACTTCCACTCCTCCTTCCACTTCTTGCTTCCCCGGTTTCTATTTATCATTTGGCCATTTTCGGGAATCCATTTATCATCAACTATATCTTTTCGCACATTTTGGCGCCCCTTCTAAAATTTTAGTTTGCTGCTGGTGTCCAGTTGCTTTCTCTTCGCTGGTTGGTTGATTTCCAATGCGAGCTCCTTATTTGTGTCTGCGGTTTAGATTACGTTCCTCATGCATTCTTAGCGGCTTGCTTCTTCCCTTCCGTTTTATTTTTTTTTATTTTTTTTATTTTTTTTTTTCATTGTCTTTCAAACTCGGTCAAACCTTTTGTTTTATTATTCTTCCATTTTTATCCCCTTCTTAAGCCATGGCCCTGGGAATTATATATTTTCAACTTATTTTTACGGTATAGCATAGCTTTAATTGCGCGACCCCATTTTGCCCTTCTTCGCCAGCTTTTGGACTTGCTTCGTCTCAAGCTTCGTCTTCATATGCTGGATTTAGCTGTGTTTCTTCCATCTTTTCTTGCCTAGTTAATCCTTCTTTCAGGCGCCCTGCTTTCCTCATCATTCTCGCTCCCTCCCCGACCGACTGCCCCACCGATCAAGTAAATGTTTCCAAAGCATCCCGAACGAAGGGAAATAAAAAAGAAAAAAAGCCGCCTACTGAGTTAACCTTCTGTCGATTCTATTATGTTCTTTTTTGCTTTGTCCACTATTCTTATTCGCCTACTCCGTTATTCGATGACCTAGCAACTATCATGGCACCCCTACATATCTCCACAGACGCGGATGGTTCCCTGCCTCTCCACGATTTGCCATATTATGTATATTCAAAACTCGACTGGTACTTGATACATCCATTCCCGCTTTCACCCGGCTTTTGAAACCGCTCTCCCATTTATCTAAGATGCCAAAATCCCGCTTGATATCCCCGTCCGTCAAAAAGCCCATTTGCCTTGATGTTTTGTTTTCCTTTACTCAATGCAATTTCCTCTCTCGTTGCGCCTTGTTTTTCATTTAGGTTGTGTCATGTTTATTTATTCAGTTTGTCGTTTTACTTTACCACTATTTTCACTTTTCGATATGCGTGACAAGTGTGCTTCATTTCTATTTTGCTATTCATTTCTACAATGCCTTGTATGTGATTTCTTGACTTTTCTTATCCTCATGTTTCCTTCTTCCTCATTTCACCAGCGTCAAAATTTTATAGTTTTAAATTTTCGAACTTAGGACGCAAAGCAAAAGCAAGCAAAAGATATTTGTTTGGTTCTTTTCATTTTCATTTATTCATTTTTGCTTATTTTTGATCTTTTCCTATCCTGCTTTTCTCCATCCTCCCCCCTCCGCCCCCCCCCCCCCCCCCCTTCGCTATGTTCATTTGCTTGTTATCGTTCGTATCTATTATTTATATATTATCATGGTGGAAATGAAATAAGTAAGCTATGTGCAGCACATCATTTTCGTTTTATCTTAGTCTTGATATTTTTCTCTAGTTTTTGCTTGTACTCCTCCACTTCGTCGCTTTCTCCCTTCTCATCCCTAGCTACGCCCATAGAGATGTATTTCCGGCGCCCATTTCTATCAATTATCCGGATTCTTCCAACGATGAAGATAAGCCTCTTTCATCCGTTTATCGAAATTGCCTTAGTAGCTTCCATAAATTAGACAATTTGAACCGTGCGTAAATAAATATGTTCATGAACTCCAGCCCTTCTCCCCAACCAGGAAGACTAAAAACAAATAGGATGAACAGAGACTTAGTCTTGTGCTTGATAATGAACTAACTATCTATATACGTCTTCTGGGTCCAGAGACTTCTAGCAATCAATTTATGGGTCGCTGCCACGTCGGCTCTACCACGTCGGCTTGCGAACCTAAGACTGGAGAAATTAATGCTTCGACTTACTATATAAAACATTTTAGTTAATAAATGTATATAATTCGGACGTCTGAGATATGATTTCTCTCTTTTAAACTTACATTGCTAGATACGATGGAATAGGGGAAAAAGTAAGCCTTCAATCACATGATTTGATACTTTGTTAGTGGGTACTGTTGGGCACTATTCTGTAGTTGTTGGGGGGATTGGATTGGGTGATTCGTACCCTCTATACCACCACGGCGCTGGTTGGTGATTGAGCTCTTTTGCCCTAGTGGCCTAATACTAGTAACCTTGGAAGCTTTCGGCGGGCGCCGTAGGTCATGTGATTTTAGCGCCCGACTCCCTAAAAATGCGTTAAGCCAACCACTATGATGGTAGCAGAGAGGAGGACGAACCAATCCAAATCCCCAACAAAATGAAACAAACCAGGGGAGGTTTAAACAAATCTCATCCAACAGGTTGCGGCCGTCTTCATGATCCAAGTTCTTAGTTCTTGTTGGGGGTTTGGATTGGTTCGTCCCCTATACTACCATCATGGCGCTGGTACTGCTGGTGGTGATCGAGCTCTTTTGCCCCAGTGGCTGAACAGTTCTCACTGCTAAAATTACAGGCCTTTCAGACTTTGCTTTCCCTCAGCAGGAACATACATACATTGGCGTTCAGCATTCCATCCCATCGTGCTATTTTGGAGCTGCAGCCTAACCACGCTGAAACCCAATTGGCGTTGCATTCTCAACATGGCTCATAGAACCCTGTGTTGGCTGATTTACGTGATTGCAATTGTGTACTGAGCCTTTTGCTGTCGGAAACCATTCGGAATAAATGCTGTCGAGACATTTCAATCATTTCTACATGATGCATTTTTACCCCTGAACTTCTTGCGGCACAGGTCATGCCCCTGCCATTATACCAAAGAAATGCGCGGCTAGATGGAGCGGTTCCAATATCAGATCCTAGTCTTGAGTCTTCTTAACATTGGACCGAGGAATTTATTCTACATTCAACCTCTTTTGCTGGTGGTTTGCTGCATATAAAATGGAGTTTCAATTCCACAGTTGACCGGGATTCCTGTTATTCTTCATTTTAATTGTTTTTATGCTCAAAGGTTTTAAAGGTCTCGTTCATACTTTATCTGCTTCTTTACTCTCCAACCTGTTGTGCCTGCCGGAAACATCTACCCTCTTCCAAATCGGCTATATACTTCATCAAGTGCTTTTCATCGCAATGTTTGGAAGTCGTTCAACCAAGCCTTCATCTGAGCCATCCCCTTCATCGGATGGAAACCTCTCTGATGTTTCCACCATTCCACTTCCTTCCAACTCGGACATCGTTCCCCCGGGCCCGCAGCTAAACCTCCATATCAAACTCCAAAGAGGGAAAGTCTACATTGCATTGTTTGCCATGTCTGCCATGCCAAGCGCGAAGCACTTCCATTGGGCCCCGGCTATGGCCACAAACGAGAGAAGCGGGATGCTGTACAACAATACCAATCAAGGGGGGCCCTATGCCTTCAAAGCCAATTACCATTCGCATCTACTGAATTCTTCTTCCTTGTTAGGACTGGTGGAAATATCATCGATCACCCCCCTCGATAGAGCAATGCATCAGAGACTTGCAGAAAGACTTATTTCCGTTCCTGTTGATAACCTTACGTGTCGTCCCTGGCTATGGAGGACGTCTGGCTGCAGAAGAAGGATTTCTTGGGATTGATGCCGACAAGGACGACATTCTGCGTGATTCCGTTGAGAACACAATTAAAGAAGACGATACTACAGAGTACCCATCAGTAATTCGATCTATTGCAGGAATAAAGTATAAACTTATACACAGCTACGAACTAGTTAGAGTTAAGCAGAGCTTTATTCTTTATAGCTATTTAGAAAATGCTAGAGCGTGTATTCAGTAGCAAACCTAATTAACTAGAAAAGAGTACACACTAGTAATTTTCTGCCAAGGCTCTATCTAGTATGTTGTATAAATTACGACAAAACCTAAAGTCGACAGCTTCAAAATTTCCCGAAGCGGGTTTTTGTTTTCCTACATCGAGACCTTCTCATCCGCAGAATGTTAATTGCTTGCAAACACCTCCACCCCTACAAATAAGCCACTGCGCCGACCCCGCTGATTCCGGTTTATTACCCGTATTTGATTGAAGGCTCACAAGACAGCTCTTGGGCATGTTGTACGAGCTGGTTGCGGTGGTATTATATGCTCATTAACTCTCCCTTTCCACGCTTTTGTTTTATCGGCCAAACTGACCCGGCCAATCCTACAGGTCCGCCCGGGAAGTGTGCAGGAGGTTAGAGAGTACGTAAATATATCCAATCCTACCTACCTCATCAATTTTCGCTCGAGAGTTTTTCCCCGACCTGCAACGGAGAGAGGCTTCTTTCTCCCCACATAGACAGCCATACCCCCCCCCCCCCCCCCACCAAAAAAAAAAAAAAAAAAAAAAAAAAACACATCACGAATAAACCCACCAACTAACCCAACTTGCAGAATCGCCCGCATCACCGGCCTCCAAATCCTCTACTCCGGCGGCGTCATCCGCGGCCTGACAAACTGGGGCCCATTCCGCCTGCCGCGCCCCATCACAAAACACCAGACAAAATACTCAACAGGCCACCACTTCATTATGCGCTTCGACTCGTCGTCCGCCGTGCAGCAATCCGTACGCAGAACCCTTGGCCTCGATCCTCGTATGATCCGTTTCTCGGTGGTTAAGTTGGGCAATAAGTTGGAGGAGATTAAGGATGTGAGCGGCAGCGTGGAGTGGAATCAGACTCGGCAGTTGATTGGGGATGATTTGGGGGTTAAGGTTCCGTTTTCGAGCCTGCGGAGGTGAATTGGTGGATCGGATGGTGGATTTATGGATTGATTGGGATTGAGCGTACTTTTTTTTTTTTTTTTTTTTTTTTTTTGTTTTTTTGCCCCTGTTTATTTTCATGAACTACCCATGCCTCATTTTGGCCGGGCTTGCTTTTGTCCGAGGGCACTGTATTTTTTACATATAGACTTATGAGTCTCTTTTGCTGCTACGAAGGGACAGCCTTCCATTATACCTAACATTAAGCATATCAGGATGAATCCAAGGAGTACATAACGAAACTTGTAAGATGAACCTTCTTAACGTCTCTCGGAATAAACGGAGATGTGACAAAGGCAAAACTCGTACAGCTTCCAAAACGGAATATACACTTACGAGAAAGTAAGCGCACAGTATTCATTTAAGAGGAAAAAACAGGGGGAAACAAGTCATAGTACATGCAAATGTACTGTACATAGGAGTAGTATGATTAGGGTTAGACATAAAGTAGGGAGAGAAAAAATGGGGGACCTAATGCCGTATAATTAACAACCCTCCTGATTTCGACGCCAGCCCAATTCTGAATATCCTGGTATATGATGTAAAATTCGATGAAAGTTGGGAAGAACCAAAAGAGAGAAGGAGAAAATCGAATAAGTGAAAAGAATACAGGGTTTGTATTTTGGTGAGTCTGGGAAGGCCTGGGAGGAGATATGCAGCATCAAACAAAGAGCCAAATATGGAAAACAAATCATACTGCTCAGAACAACCGCCACCCCTTTGACCGTTCCTTAGATGCAGAAACATGTTGTCCATGCGTTTTGCTCCCTCCTTCCAGCTGCCTTAAACTTTCAATCTTCTCTAACACCAATTCAAGCATCTCCTTCTTCTTAATGACATCTAGATGCCGGCGGACGCGCGGATCTTCGCGTGCGAAGCGCTCAATTTCCGAATCCGAGAGATGGCGGCCGAGTCGGAGATCGAGCTCTCGGGGGAAATTGTAGTAGAACTCGGAGAGGAGTTCTACATTTAGAAAGAGGACGGCAGTGGCGGTGAGTTTGTCGGCGACCACGTCGAGGAAGACTTCGGGACAATGGTATTTGTTCATTTTGGAGGCGCACTGCTTGGAGCGGACGGCGAGAAGACGCATTTTGATTAGATCCGCGCGATCACGGAGGAAAACGGCTTCTCGGCCTGTGGAAGTTCCAAGCATGGTTAGATAAGGAATACATTTCCAAGAAGAAAAAATATACAGGCAGTGGCAGGAGTGGACACCAACCTTTTTGGAGCAATGAAGCACTGAATCCACCTGCCCCGCCAGAGCCATCTCCCTCAATAGATATATCCCCTTTCCGCATTTTGTCGATAAAGGTCATGACATCCTTCAGCTTCCTCTTTCCTATATTATCTTCCACATGTTTCAGAGCATGGCCACACGCTTTCAGCTCTTCTTTCAGCACAATACTAATGTTTTCTCGTCCCTTCGCCCATTCCAAATCATCTACTTCGATTTCAAATTTGTATGGCTTGATGCAATTCTCAACTTGGTCGCTCGTGCTGAAAAACCGGTCATTGAGAATAGTGGCTGTGGCATCCGCTATAGCCTTTTGCGCGTATGGGTGAGATGCAAACGTAGAGGCTGCGACAAGGTCATCAACGCGGTTTTGCAACGCATTGGCCACTATCGTAGTCGCTAGGCGACCTATCCCTAATTTTGTAAGGGCAGATGAAGATGCATCCAGTTTCCGATGCCAATAGAGAGATTCAGGGTCTGCTTTTTGGCAGATCATCGAGAGGATCCGGCTCCGGTAAAGGTGGTGAAAGGTCTTCGACAGGTTTATTCCAGTACCTTTGCGCGAGAAGATCGAGGACCCGCTGGTCGAGTTCGTTTTTCAGTAATTCACGAACCTGAGGACGACCAAAACTCTCGCTAAATTCTTTGAATGAATGCTTGAAGCTGTCCAGGCTCTCTGCAAGATAGGATTCTGCGCTCAATGGGCGATCATTGTACTGGACCTTGAACTCATAGGTTGCCTCTTCAAGTTCCTGGAAAATGGCATCGCGGGTGCCGGTAAGGCTTGAAGCCATTGATTGTTCTAGGGTATGCATCAACTTCTTCCGCAACGTTGTAGTTCCAACAGATAGTTCGGAGCCCACACCAAATTCTTGTGGATGGCTTCCAAAGAAGGCGTTTTCGTTTTTGACAATAGCATTTGTAATATTTTCACTTCCTCGGGAGAATAATCCCGCTGTATGAGGAACCCGAGAAACAACCCCTACGTAGCCCAACCGAAGTGGATATTTGCTATCAGAAAGTATGCTTGCTCCTCTCTCAGGATCAACAAGGTCCATCTTTGTGACAACACCGATCGTTCGTTCCCCGCGAGGATCGACCCGCCGCGAGGCCCTAAGGGCAGTAGAATTGGCCAGGTCTACGTCTGCTGCAGAAATAGCGAGAATGATATTGGGTGCTTGAATGTACCTGTCACATAAATCGGAGATCTTTTGTTTAAGCTCCGGAGGTTGGTCACGGCCAGCAACTTGGATATATCCAGGCAGATCGATCAGTGAAAGGTCGGGGATGTGCGGAGAATATATTGAAAGTTGAATGGGGTCGTCTGACACACAGTCCTTTTTCGAAACTGCAAGATTGAGATCGGTCAAAGTGCGCTGAATTTGACTAAAATCTGTTATCTTCCCAAGCCCGAGTGCTGGAAACTCGCCGTATTCTGTCTGTGAATTTGGTGTGTTAACCAGAGTCAATTCAATTGGCCGTCTTGTTACCATGTTCGAGCCCTTTGGGAGGAACTCATGACCGACGATCGCTTCCAATACAGAACTTTTCCCAGAGGACTGAGACCCTATCACCACAATGGATGGCAAGGTTAATGCATTAGACTGGCCAATCCGTTGTAAAATGTTTCTGATTTCGATCATCTTTCTCGTCAATATCATCATCTGGTCGTCGATTGCATTCTTCTTATCTGAAGCAACGTCATCGTCGGAATCATGGCCTAGTCTGGCACCTGCTGCAGCACCAGCTACCACGGCCGCACCCGTCCTACTCTCCTTTGGAGAACTACGCCCGCCGCCACCGGATGAACCTCCACCCCCGGATTCTGACAGTTCCTTCAGCCGGAGAACCTTCTGCGCCCACTCTGGCAATTCAATATCTTCCTTCGTTCTCTGCCACCCACGATTCGTCTGTTCAGCGATATCCTGGATATTTTGCAAGATGGACAAGCCAACCCCGCCCGCAGTGTCGCCAGCTTGTCGAATAATATCCATGGCATAATTCCCGGCCTCTAAAATGACAAAATAAATAGTAAGAAATAAATCTGTCCAAAATAAAAGAGTAATATGAAGTTAGACAATAAACAGGGGTGGGGAAGAACGTACGAGCAGCCTGATATTGGATATACGCCAGTCCAGCAATCATAGCACCACCAAACATGGCAGGTATCCTGGCGAACTTTAGAGCCAACTTGGGAAGGACGCGGGCAAAGGAAATAGTCCGAACAGCGGAGACGTTGTGAATCCAGTTCGCGCGCAGCGGCCATGGCCTCCCGCGGAGACCAACGGTGCCACCCCCGGATGAGCGCAGCAGGCCGCCCGTCCTCGCTCCAGCATTGTGCAGTTGACGAGCTAGGAGGCTTCTCCTAGCCAGCACGGCAGTGCCGTGGGAGAAGAGTCTCCCGCTCATCGTCTGTTTGTCATGTACTAGTTGCGAGTGACGGATTTCGAGGTCGCATTGATTGATTAGCGGTTGCAAAGGATGGACAATCGACGGATTCGGACAACGAGCTACAAGATGTATAGGAGTGACGATAGAGGGGTATGTTGTTGGAGAGGGGAGACTCTGCTAGGCTGTTTGCTGACTCCTTTTTGTTTGTTTCCGAAGGCGGCGATGTTGTGAGGTCACGCTAGCCCCAAGGGACCCTTCCAAGGTACATGTATATGGGTACCCGTATGAACAGGGAATGTTACATAAATATGAGAAAATGTCGATTATTCTTGTACTGACGATAGAACTTAAATCCGTGTATTTTCTCGCTTTGTAGGCGTTATGGCCGTTGAAAACGGTAGGGAACGAATGACCCACGTGACACGTGATGTTTAGTCACGTGGAGATAATTAATTTGCGCCCTTGGTTGTTGCGGATAAAGTAGTTTCTAGAAGCGGAGGTGAGAATAGGTTGATCGTGCTCCAAAACAGTAGGCAAAATGAGAACCAGAACCACATTCAACAGTCAACAATTCCGAACCCTGTGTGATTGCAACTATCAAATTGCAACTGTCTAATCAGTATGTTTCTTGAGTGATAAGCGTGTATTAGCAAGGACGTCTGAGTTTATTTTAGATGGGTGAATTAAATCTCGTAGATCTCAGCTCTACAGCCATGTGATATCACGACATCGGTCACGTGTTTTAGGTCACCCAGAAGCAGCAAAATGAGCCGCAGCATTCAAGAAAAGAAAACAAAAGCAACCTCCCTGATAGATAGAAATAGAACGTTACTTTTTATGTGTTTATTTTCCTTATCCTTTCTGTTTCCTTGTTGTCCTGCTTGATTTTGTCGTGATACTTCTTCTCCTCCTTTCGCTGCTGCTTGCTAGGATTGTATTTACTTGCTTGAGTCAAAGCTTCCCTGAGCTCCTCCGCCAGCAGCTAGCACTCCAAATCTATACCAAGAAGCTTTCACACCTTGGTTAAGAGACGTCCACTATTCATCCGAACATATTCTATTCTTACAGTTACAGTTTATACCCCTACGCAAATCATCCATACGCTACCTACCCCGTACAAAGCTACTGGTTGACCGCCAGCATTGGCGGACCTCTCGCAGTGAACTTGCGTGATGTGTCGATTTCTAGTATGTCCATAATAACCCTGTTACTATTTATTATACGTTAATATTATATATATACCTACTTCTCTGCAGCTGCTACAGCTCCATGTAGCTGGGAAATATGCCTCTCTACAATATTCCGCCTTGTGTATGTCTTCGGACAGTTAAACTAACAAGCCCCGTTCTAATCGTAGGTATACAAAGGGAGACACGACATCCTTCTGAGCAAGCTCATAACAGAACCAAGCCACTCTATCCTAACTCAATCCTATGACTCCCGCCTCAGACTAGTGAGCTTACTCCATAAATCCGGAAAAAGAATGAATAAGTAAGGAGATAGGATAGTCCTAAGTAACTAACTAACACCCCCCCCCCTCTCCCCAGGATACCCGCCGCCCCGTAAACGGCGATGGCTTCGGCGTGGGTTTCTACACTGCGCCTTCCCTCGGCCCCGACCCATGCATCTTCACCTCGACCCTTCCGGCCTGGAACTGCGAAAACCTCGAACGTCTCGCTTCCAAAACCACTTCCTCCCTTATTTTCGCCCACGTTCGCGCCACCACCGAAGGCGCCTTAGCGGACAACAATTGCCATCCCTTCCAACACAACACCCTCATGTGGATGCACAATGGCAACCTGGGTGGATGGAAATATATAAAGCGTCACTTGGCTGACTCCCTCGCTGACAAGTGGTATCTGGGCGTCAAGGGTGGGACGGATAGCGAGTGGGCGTTTGCGCTGTTTCTGGACCTGATGGAGCGGGAGGGCGGGGTTGATCCCAGCTCGGTGCCGGAGGGTGGGTTTGGCCATGCGCTCTTACGAGAGATCATGCGCAAGACGATTTGCAGGATTAACGAGCTGATTGCGGCGATCCCGGCTGGGTGTGGGGTTACGGATGTGGAGACGAGGAGTTTATTGAATTTTGCGGTCACGGATGGGCACACGGTTGTGTGCACGCGGTACGTGAGTAGTAAAACGGACGAGGCGGCGAGTTTGTACTTTTCGTCCGGAACGAAGTGGAAGGAGGGAAGGACAAAGGGGCATTTTAAGATGGAGAGGCATGATAAAGGGGCGGATATTGTCCTGGTGGCCAGTGAACCATTGACGTTTGAAAGACGTGAGGAGTCTCTCGCTACATTAGTTCCCCCGCCGCCCCAGAGGAAAAGAAATGAATAATAATGCTGTGTGTGTGTGTGTGTGTGTGTGTGTGTGTGTGTGTTGCTAACATCCCACCCAAACCATTCTAGATAACTGGGTAACTGTCCCGACCAACTCAATTCTCACAATCCACAAACAAACCGTCCTCATCCACCCCCTCATCGACGAGTTCTACGACGACGATCCAAACCATGACCGCTCTTCTGGCTTTGCCGTCTCCAAAGGCCTCGTCAGCAAGGCTCCTGGCACCACGGTGGCCCCAGATACAAATAATGACCCCAACAGCAACCATCCACCCGCATCAGAACCCTTCACGCCGGCTGATACCCCTAGTTTGTCCCCCAGGGCACAGCAGGAAAGCTATAGTCATAGTACCAGAGGTAATGGTGGGTCAAGGTTGGGTGGATTGGAGCAGAAAATCAGAAGTGTGCACCTTCAGTCGTGACGTAATTGGGGGGGTAGACCTTTAATGAATGAATGATAGTTGTTTTGCTTCTTTTTCCAGTGACGAATGATTCTCGTACTGACAATATTCTTATGCTAACGATGGATGGGATGGGGTCGCGAAAATATCGGTGGGCACCTACCTAGAAAGAAAAGAAAAAGAATGAATGAAAAAAAAAAAAAAAAGACCGATTAAACTGGGCTTCTATTGATTGCGGATTTTTGAAATAGCCCCGATCCAAGGATGCCTTTTTGCTGGGGGATTCAGCGTTCCCCCCTTCCCTTATTTTTTACACTTTTCTTCTCCGTTTGCTTTGCTTTTTCGGGCCTTTGGCTTATTTACGTGTTTCTTTTTGGGCTTGAGTCTTGATTTTATCGAAGTCCCTTTTTCATTCTTGATCTACCCCCTTTTCTTAAAGCTCAAACGACGGGCAGTCAATCAGTCAGTCTGTAGTTGTCTCTTAGAATAGCATTCCGAGTTTAGCAATTCTATATATACGTACGCCTTGTTCCAGTTTCTATACCCGGCTCTAAATAAAGCCCCGAGGAATGAAAAATACTGGAAAATGAAAATGAAAATGAAAATGAAAATGCTACCAAGTCGGCTATGGCTATGCGGAACATTAAAAAAAAAAAAAAAAAAAAAAAAAAAAAAAAAAAAGGTCCTAAATATCCTCCCCCGAAATATTCGCATGCCGAAAATACTTCATCCCCACCCACGCCACAACCACCCATACCCACGCCATCACCGCCGTCAAGATAATCAGCGCCGGATAATACCCTACAATCGGCAGCGTGGGATCGTCCTCCAGCTCCGGCGGCGCATACGGCGTCTCGCCGACATCCCACGCCCAGCTCCACACGCCCAGACAGCTGCCCATCCCGATCACGAAGACCAGCCACGTCACGACTAGGATTATCCACCCCCACCACTCCGTCTCGGCGTAGTCCCATGCTTCAAGCGTGGAGCTGGTGGCTGCTGCTGCAGCGGCAGAGTTGGGTGAAGTGGACTTGGCTGCGGTTGTTGGAGGGAATTCATCGGATACTGATATGCCGGATACAGATGGTGGTGCTGTTGTCAATGGGGTAGTGTCAGGGATGCCGTCTACGGCGCCCACGCCTGTTGGCTCCGCGCCTGAGAGTGATAAGGGCGACCTGACGCGGCGGGAGGTGGAGCGGAGGCGGGTGGAAGACGGCATTTTTTTTGTTGTTTGTGAGACGGGGGGGTAGTAGGAGTCTGAACTTGAAGAAAGGGAACCGGTGGAGATCTTGAATGGGACGGGACGGCGCGGCGCGGTGGTGGGTTGTGTGTCTGCGTCTTGGTCCACGCTGCTGATGTTGTTGTTGTTGTTGTTGCTGCTGCTGCTGCTGCTGCTGCTGCTGCTACTGGTGGTCGGCGTTTTGGAAGCTGTGGATGTTGTAGTGGTGGTGCTGGCGTTGCTGTCGAGGCGCGTGAGTGAAGTTGAAGTGGAAGTGGGTGTTTGATGGGGGGTGGAGCGGAAATCAAGGACGCCGCGTTTGTCGTCGTCGAGATTGTCGGAATGGTTCGAGGAATTTGATTGTAATCGTTCCTGGGGAGCCTGCTGTTGGTAGCGGTGTTGGTGTCGCCGCTGTCCCCCTTGTTCCCCCTGCTGCTTGATACCCGGAGGAGGAGATCCCTTCGCAATCCAGGTCCGAGATGGCGGGGGCGGGATCGGCGGCGGAGTATGTGAGGGAGCCGGAGGATGGTTCGGTTGCGCAGACAGAGGTAAAGGCGGAGTTCTTTTCAGTCGAGGGGACACTCCTTCCTCCCCATCCCCGTCCAGCGCGGAAGGAGAAATCGGCGGAGAGCGCAGTAGACCCCCACCACCAACTGTACTAGTATTAACCGTAGCATCACGGCCCCAACGCTCACTATCCCGTCCCATCTCCGCTTCCCGATCTCCATGCAGATCCGCAACCCCCTTCGTAGCCGCCGTAGACGAAGTAAAAGTGGATGTAGATGTAGATGTAGATGTAGATGTAGAGGCAGAAGTGGAAGAAACCCCTCGACCCCAACCCCCTCTCTTCTCCCTCCCCTCCAGCCTCAACGCCCCCGTCCCCGACAGCGCCGTCTTGCGCAACGACCCCTTCCTCTTCCGCGCCTTGCGCTGCTGTTGCTGCTGCTGCTGCTGCTGCTGCTGCTGGAGCGCGCTCGCCATGGCGCCTCCACCAATGCTCTTCCCCCCCACCACGCCGTCCCCGGGCGCCGCTCTACCCTCATTATCCGGTCTGTGTTGTGCATGCGATTGCGCCTGGGGTGCATCGGTGCCCGTACCGGTGCCGGCGCTGGTAGTCTCAGGGCTACTGCTCGCGCTGCCTAGGTTTCCGCCGCGCGAGAACGAGAGGCGCGAGAAGGACGAGCTGAGTAGGGTGCGTTTAAAGCCGATTCCGCCGGCGACGACGGGGGACCCTGGGCCTGGGTTTGGGCCCCGGTTGAGCGATGAGCTACGGCCTGGCGAAGCAGGTGGGGGTGTTAGTTCCTTTGGGTTTTCTGGTGGCGGTGGTGGTGGTGATGTGGTAGGCGCGTCGGTGTCATTTTCCATCGGGAGTTTTGGATTTTTGAAGTTTGTGGGATGCGCGCGATGCGCGTGGGGGTGAAGTTGTGGGTTCCCACGACCGCGAGATATGGTTTTATTATTATTAGAATATAGTTTGTTTAATATATGTAATATGTATTCAAGGACGTAATATTCCGAGCTCGCTGCGAGGGAGGGAGGGAAAGGGCAAGTGGAATTCGCTTATTGGTAAAATAAATAAAATAATAAGGGAAGGTATTCACACAGGGGAGGAAATGAGAATACAAAGTATAGCTAAGGAACCTGAAGTGTGCAGGTTGTTTGGCAATCCACAGTGCCAGACTCGGTGCTCCGTGGTTGTCTTTCGAGAGAGAGAGAGCTCCGTAGTGGCGGCATCCCAGGCTCGGTTAGCTCGCCTACGCTAGAAACCAACAGAACAACGTTGTGTTGATAGATGCAACAGATAATATTAATATATTAATTTGTGATCATCGAGAAAGGGATAGTTTTAGAAAGAAGAAGAAAATGAAACTGCAAAATATATAAATATTTAATAACTAACTACAATAGGTCACTCTCCGATATTCTTGAGCAGCCACTTTTTTTGGACTTTGAATAGAAATAAAAGATAAGATTCATATATATTAATAATAAAAATAAGGAAAGAGAACAAAGAAAGTGGAAAGTGAAAACAGCAACATTAAAGAAGACATATATTCTAACAGCACACTTAGTGTATAATGTACACTCAACATAAAAATGGGAATCGGGATCATAATCATAATAATCATCATCATAGTTGTTATGAAGGTCGAGGACAATGTTAGTGAGTTAACATAGTAAAAACATTTTAATTTAACAGTAATTTATTTGAGCAAGTTCATTAGAAGTTCATACATAGAGAGAAACAATCTGTGTGCATGTATGTGGAGTTTTGATGCAGGGTGACAGAATGGGACTGAGCCGGAAAAAGGCTTTGAGAAAAATATTGGGTTGCAAAAATAGAAATAAAATCAGAAATAGAAGAATACGAAAGATATCATCAGTGGGAAACAATATAAAATCCAAAAATATAGAAGTTTTCAAGGTGAAGCTGTCTCAAGTCGGATTGAGATAATGGGAAAAGATAGGAAGGGGGTATTCTGTTTTGCTTGATTG